TAATTTACATAATGTCCTTTCATACATACATACATACCAATCTCTTAGCATCCTTCACTCTCTGTTTAGCTGCTTCAGTTGTAAACATACTATCATATATTGTTGCAACACGATCTACTATATCCAACACCAACAGATACCGATGTGAATTATGGTAGTTTATTGTGATCATGATCTGCAACAAATTTCACACCCAATTAGACAAAATTCAACATTCTATATCCGAAAACATCATTTGCAATTGGTATGGTGTTTTACCTTCTCACAGTCGGTGAATTTCACATAGTTATTCAGTATGGGACCCCAGAAGGTAGCAATACTCTCAACACTTTCTTTGCTGTTGGCATCCAACGCCTGCTGCTGCAATTACGCAACAAACATTATTAATTTACCGTCTATAACACTACTTATCTCCATTTATTAATTTAACTCACTGCTAAGTGGTATGGAAGGTAGCCAATCCTCCGGAGTGACTTCTGAGAATCGTAGCATACTGTCCAGGCGAGCAAATCAATAACCTAACAAAATTAATTACACAATCAGAACATATTCAATAATTTTTAACATTTTCTACTTTCTACTTACCACACCGCCAACCCATTCCGTAGGCTTCAACGTTGCAACGTCGTATACACTAGCGAATTGATTTCCCATTGAGATTATAGAATATCTGTATGAATCATTAGGATTAATATGTTGTCATGAAATATTTAAATATAACTCACAAAGCAATATATTTCACTTACTCTGATTCTAACTCACTATTCCATAAATAATCACAAATTGCAGCTTTGATGTCATCAATTCCGCTTGGAATATCCGCTTTTCAACCTATAATTTTGCATACAAATTTTTGTCACAACAACATAATAAAAATCAAATTAAGTTTTCTTTTATTCAACTTACCTTCTGCTTCTTCTTCTGGGGTACAGGACATTCCGAATCCAAATCTGTTGCTATAACACTCTCCGGTGTATAAATGACATCGACTTCCTTTCTCCTCATTTCTTCCATCTCTTCTTCTTCCTCCTCCCTCTTTTCTTCTTCATATATTTTCAGTTCATCGTATTTTTTTTCTACATAGCTCTTCATCTCTTTTATTTCACCCTTCAATTGATCTCCTTCATCCAAGTATTTATCAACCACCCCCTTCACCCCCATAAGTTCACTCCTCAATTCCACAACCTCCTTCACCACTCCCTCAAATTTTTCACCCGTCACCATCTTAATATCACCCCTTAACACCCCAACTTCTTTCACCACTTCACCCCTCAACACCTCTACTTCTTTCACCACTCCATCTATTTTTCCTTCCACTACCCCCTTGTGCCTCTCAAGTGTATCTTCGACTCTCTCAAATTTCTCTTCGACTCTATCAAGTTTCTCTTCGACTCTTGATTATCTTTGCATGTTATCAAATTGGATTTTTTTGATATCAGCCAATTCAGACATCAAAATGTCGAAGTTACTATGTTTTCCCTCACCGTCATCCCCCAATACAACCATCTCTCCTTTCTTTTCCTCTGCCTCCATTGCCTCTTCTACATCCTTGCCAATAACTTTCAAAATTAAATTGCAATATTAAGACATTGGTTATATTCTTAATATTATTTAATTACATTTATTACCCTTTCTTGCTTCTTCGCTCTATCCAACTTCAACTTCACCATCACTCTAACCACCTCTTCCTTCCCCCATGCACGGATGCGTGCCACTCCGGTTCTTTCATAAGCCGGCACTGCCTCACAGCCCGACCAAAAATTGAACAGTGCAACTTGCATTTATAATAAAATTTATATTTTTATATAAAAACACAAAAAAGTTCTTCAACTCATTTACCTCTAAGATTGCTATGCACCCTTTGAGGTATCTCTGGCTGCCCTTTTTAAAGGTGATTATTGATTCAATCAATCTCGAATGGATATATTCAGCCCAATTGAATTCACCCTTCAAGCCTTCATCGCAAATGAGCTTCATATGCTCCTTGTTCGTTGACGTATGACCCGTTGGACAAAGAAAGATACCGACAAGGTATAATAGAACTCTGGCCTTCAGCTCATCCCCAACGTAAGATCCACTTTTTATTTTCTCTTCAATTTCAGCATATGTCACCTTCTGCTTCAAACCATATTTGGAGGCAAGTGCTTTCCAGTCCTTACTCTTACAGACTTCTATAACACTTTTGCCTTCATTTTCTACCCCCAATACGGCTGCAGCACATGGGATCCCGAGAGGAAATGAAAAATCACCATACTTAGCAATACATTGTCTGACATCAAATTGCGCCATCAAGGATCGACACAATTCCCTCTGAATAGGTCGATCCCTTACTCCTACCAACGATCCAAAACCTATTTCTCCCAGCACATTCAACTGACCCTTCTCCTTAAGGTGTTTAATTAATGAATTCACCCTTTTAATGTTGCATATTGTCGACACTTCCTACATTTTTTAACAATATATAATGTTATAGTTCTTATATATTTTGTATCAACGTATTTACAAGTTTAATGAATACCTTATTTTCATGTGTTTTCCTCCGTTCTTTGTATTCTTTACTATCATTCATTGACTGTGTGATGTAAGGTTCCTTTTCAGCATCACTCATTGAATTCCATTTGGACCTCACATCTTTTGTCACCTAATATTAAACATAAACATTTCTTAATCAATACATTAACACTAAATACTACTCAATGTCAATTTCATTTTACATACCAAACCGCTCTGTGTGCCATCTTCCTTCATCCTTTTGCATTCGGTCATACTGTCAACATTTAAAATTTGTAATCAATTTAAAGTTTATCGATACTTTAATCCAATTACCATTTCAACAATAATAACTAAAAGACATTGATACTTACTAGAAGTACATATATCCATCCTTTGCTTGCTTTCGAGTCTCGGCCTCAATTTCAAAGTCATCTGCGCCACCAACAATTTTCCAACCCATTGACTCCATTTTTCCTTCATATATCAGTTTACGCAAATCAAATTATTTTGTTACATACACTTTATTCAATATACAAATATAGATAACTACTCTTGTAGTAAAACGATTTTCTTTAAAAGAATTTGAATGGCCACACCAAAATGTGTCGGCACATTTATACAACCTATAATATCATTTTCTACCTATAATATATAATAAAAGTATCGACATTTATATTTTACCTTCAATATCACTTTCTACCTGCAATCGGTCCCAAATGCTTCTTTACTCCAAAACCCCAAACAACACATAAAAACCCTATTCGCGATTACTGTAATAATAAAAAACTAGGGTTTCGACAACATACTTTTCGATTCGACTGTATCAACAACAAACAAACTTCGCTTTAGAAACGCCTTCTAAAATGCAACAACAATTACGCTTCGATTTCAAAAACTCGTCCGTTCTATCGATTTTCAGAGGATATTTAGATATGGCCTTTATATTTTCATCGGATATGTTATTTATATTTAATCGATACAAATACAAAAGTGTCGATACTTTTATGTCAGGTGTCGATACTTTCGAAAGGATAATTACCTATTTCTTTGAAAGTGTCGATAATTTATTACACGTACTTACGAAAGTATCGACACTTTCAATATATCCGGTATCATTTTATCGGTTTTATCATTTTGATACCGGTTTTATCATATTTTTACCTGTTATATCGTTGTGGATCGATATTTTTTTTAAAGTATCGATACATTATAGGCGCTAAAACTGCTTCTCTTTTAAATTCACAAAGTGTCGATCCTTATATAAAGTATCGACACTTTCAATATATCCGGTAACGTTTTACCGGTTTTATCATTTTGTTACCGGTTTTATCATATTTTTACCTGGTATATCGTTTTGGATCGATACATTTTTTAAAAGTATCGACACTTCACACTTTATAGGATTTAAAACTGCTTCTCTTTTAAATTCACGAAGTGTCGATCCTTATATTAAAGTACTGACACTTTAAATGTATCCGGTAGCGCTTTACCGGTTTTATCATTTCAATACCGGTTTTGTCATAGTTTTACCTGTTATATCGTTTTGGATCGACACATTTTTAATTTGGATCGACACGAACCGACAAGTTAAGTTTGTCGGTTGCACAAATTTTTAATATTTCTTCATGACTTAGACCTACTACATTTTTATTAGTCAACATTTCCGGTAGCGCTAAACCGAATTTGTTAAATATCTTTTAATGTATCCGGTAACACCGTATATTAGCCGTATATTAACCCGCCTTTCCTAAATGATGATGGCTGTATTCGCGTAGGCTGTCAAATTTAATTTTGTTTATTATGTTAAGGATTATAAAATAATATTTTTTTAATAATAATAACATATTAAATTTATACAAAATTTTGGATCATTTAATCAGAATTCAAAAAATTTAAATCCAATTTAATTATGGAGAAAATAATAATTTAAACTCGTAAAATTTATAAATTCAAATTGAGATAAATATTTTTTAGTAAATTTTCGATCGTTTCTAGTCTTCCTGACTGAGCTTTTCGAGGGGAGAATGACTTTCTGGGAAAAACTTTCGAGATAATGTTCTGAAAGAAATTAATTCACGAGCTAATGCACTCCCAAGATTAATTGCTCAAATAGAGTGAAATCCACAGTATTGGTCATAGGTCGCCATGCCTTCCGGGCGACCTTGTAGGTCGCCATGCACTCCGAACGACCTACCCTTGCTCAAACAGAGAGAATGAACGTGTTGCATGGCACATGCACGTCCCAACACATAGGTCGTCATGCCCTCCGGGCGACCTTGTAGGTCGCCATGCACTCCGGGCGACCTACCCTCGCTCGGCTGCCCTCGAATTCCCTCGCATAGCTCGCTCGGCTGCCCTCGGATAGCTCGCTCGGCTGCCATCGGATGCCTTCGCATAGCTCGTTCGAATGGTCTCGGTCGGATGGCCTCGGATGCTCTCGCATAGCTCTGTCGGATGGCCTTATCTAATGGAAAGCAGCTGAACTGGTTGGGTTACTCTTAACTCGGATGAAGCTTTCGACCATACAACTAACATGGGATCTTCTGTTGAGGTCTTCCGTAATCATAGGTGATTTCATTGTCGGTTTTAACAAGTTCATTGGCTATTCCTCCATCCTTGAAATCGAGCTTTGGAGAATCTATGATAGTCTCACCCTTGCCTGGTCTCTAGGATTCAAGAAGGTCCACTTTCAAACTAATAGCACTAAAGCTTACAATCTCATTACCTCCCCTGATGCTCTCAACAACCCTATGGCCCTCGTGCGAGCCATTGCCCTTATCTCCTCGAAGGCTTGGTTCCTTGACTTTATCTTAATCAAGCGTGAAGCCAACCAGGTGGCTGACTCCATTGCCAAGCTCCAAGCTAACGCTGATGGCTCCTTGACCACCTTCAATGAGGCTCCTCTTCAACTTACTGATATCCTCTCCAGAGATGTCAATGGCCCGTCTCACGTTAGGAGACATAAACTTACGGCTTAAAGGCATTAGCCTCTTCTCCATTAAAAAAAGATATAATATTTTTTATATATGTGAAAATTGAATTTCAATGTAATCACGATTAATAAAATAAATAAAAAATTATAAAAAATACGAATTTCAGAATAGGTACACGAGAACAAGTTACATCCGTCACTGCGAATGTAGATAAAAACGTTGAAGGATTGAATTTAGGAAAAAGATGATGTTTAATGGGTAAAATTTATTTATCCCTGTTGTATTTTTGTGCAGGAACGAGAGTGAAACTTGTTTCTCATGCAGAGCCTGAGGTCTACAAGTCACCCCCATACGTGTCTCCACATTGCATCCTTCGTCTCTTTATAAAATCCCACACCGATCCCATCCTTCACTCAGATACTCTCTGTTTCTTCTTCTAATTGCAACTGTTTTCATCAATGGCAGACCGTGACCACCCTCTCCACGCCCAAGTTCACCCACAGCACCGGTACGACCAGGTTGTTCGTAGCGGAACCGGGAAGACCGAAGCCGGGACCTGGACTGGGAAAAACTATCAATCCGGCGGACCGTCAACAACCCAAGTTCTAGCAGTCCTGGCCCTCCTTCCTATCGGCGGAAGCCTCCTCGCATTAGCCGGTTTAACCCTAACAGGCACAGTGATCGGCCTAACCGTGGCGACACCGGTGTTCGTCATCTTCAGCCCAGTGCTGGTCCCAGCCGCCATTGCCGTTACAATGGTGGTGTTGGGTTTCTTGTCGTCGGGTGCCTTCGGAGTCACAGGGCTGTCGTCGCTCTCATATGTGTTCAACCGCTTGAGACGGGTGTATAGCTCCTCCGATGAGCACGACACGGAGTGGGCCAAGAGGGGCATGCAAGATATGGTGGGGTATGCGGGGCAGAAGACAAAGGAAGCTGGGCAGAAGACGAAGGAAGCTGGGCAGAATATGGAGAACAAGAGTCATGAACAGAGTGTTAGGACTTGATGAGTCTTGTTTTTCATTCCCAATGGCTCTTTTTTCTTCATCTTCAACTACTAGGTGTGTGTGATAATGGGTATTAATAGTATGTTCTGTATTCTGGTGTTTCTTGCTATGTAACCTTCAAATAAATCCATCATAAAATTAAATATCGATGGTTTCAAAAAAAATGTTGGTTTAGATATCATCCAAGAAAATATTTTTATGGTTCTGCGTAATAAGATTTATAAAAACAAAAAGAAAAGAAAGTATACATCTTATTAACAACTGAAAAAGGAAAAAGAGTATACATCTTATTAACAACTGAGAAAAAGAAAAGGAAGTATACGTCTTATTAACAACTGCCTCAGTAGTGCTGATGGTTCATACCTTAAATTTGCACTCTAGAAATCCCTGGTTCAATTGTAGGCTGTGATTTTACTTTTATGGTTCTGCCTAATAAGATTTATAAAAAAGGAGTTCCAAAGAAAACATAAGCCACACCCCATCACCATAATCAAGAATCCTTTTTCACACCAATTCGCTTGATAACCAAGAATAGAAATTACAAAACGAAAACCCATGATATTTTAGGGTTAAATCATTTTGTATATATTTTTTATTCAATTATATGATTATTATTTAATGCACTGGATGTATGTTTAAAATCTTCTGCCTCACCAAATTGGTTCTTCACATTTTCTATCCAAGAGTGGGTCTTGCTTGCTCCAATTTTCTCTTTCTTTTTTGGAAATCTTTATCAAATTAAGTTTGAAGAAAATGATCATTAGATTTTATTAATTAACATTAGTTTTATTATATAAAGATAGTCTCAAACGAGTGAGGTAAACAAAATGGAGAGAATAATTTTATAAGATTAGTGCACGCATTCTATCGGACAATTTATTTGTGAAGAGTATGAAAATTCCACGACTAGTGATATATCAGCATGGTATTAGTAACACTGAGTTTATCATCTTCTTAAATATATATTATTAATAAAACATGAGATATTATCCTATTTCACAATCTAAGATTCTTCTAGTTTTACCCAGATTTATTTAAAATCATTAAATGAGAGAAAATAGATAACTGTAAGAAATGAAAATATATTCACTAGAAGAAAAAAAACGAATTAATCTCAATCATCTATTTTTACTCCTCTAATAATTTTAAATTTATGAAAAACTAAACGAGTTTTTTACTATATAAGTGAATCATATCCTATAAAGGATAAGATTTTATTACACTGTAAAATTCTTTTAATTTTATACATGTTTAAGACTATTATGATCCACTTATACAATATAAAATCTTTTAGTTTTATACAGATTTAGAAATGTTAGATAAACGAAAATAAATGACTGAGATTAGCTTCTTTTTTTGTTAAATTTAACTATCTATTTTCACTCATCAAACAATTCTAAACCTACGTAATTGATGAGTTCTAAATCTATGTAAAACCAAGAGTTTTATATCGTGTAATAAGAGGTGTACAGCCATTGCTAGTACGATATGGACCACCTGCATTTCAAAAAATTAGGAAAAGGAAAAAGAAAAGGTGAAGTTACTCTTCAAGTAGAATAGAACATTGTAAGACTGAAATGGGAATGGGTTCCCAAACAAGTTTCATGTAAAATGTAAGAAATAATATCAGAGGACTTTAGCCCTACAAAATCTCCTCACAGATGAGGATACAATTTGACACTCAACTGTTAAGCCTTTTGGTGGCAAACAAAAGATATAGAAAAATCCATTCTTTTACATATAATCCGAAGAAAATTAGAGTTTCAACAGATTAAAAAATTTATTTACCTCACTGTACAAATCCGAACAACAAGTGCCTGTCCTTAACTTGTATCGTCTTTAGGTGACTCTGTTATGCTTAGATGTTGGGGGTGAACTCTGCTCTGAAACTTCACCCAATTCCATATGCCGTGAAGCCACGACTTCTTGGGCAACGCAGCATGCTGATTTTTCTTCTGTCAGGCCATCGGTTTCTAAAGGTTCCTTGGGCGTGGAAGATGGAATTTCTTTGCTACAAGGGTTAGTGTTAGATGTCAACCATTTAAACTGTAAATTGTTGCCTTGCCAGCATTTACCGTTTATATAAGCCCTTTCTGCCGACTGTCGTGTGCTGTAAGTTATAAGAGCCGAGCAATTCTTTAATGGCTCTGAACTTATATCATCTTTATCTTCTTTTCCGACAGCTTGTAGCTCCACAGAGAAAAGATCTCCGTATTGTAAGAAGTGCTCCTTCAAAACAGCAACCTAGTTGACAATCAGATATGAGTTACCTCTCATTGGAAACAAAGAACATCGTAGCAGACTCAAGTTTATGTCATTAAAACATCATTTTTAGTTAGGGTAGATAGACGTATGCCTAGAATTTTAGGTAGGATCAAGGGCTAAGAACACAAGTTACCTAACAATGAATTCCTACAACACCATGCCACGTGATAGCATCAAATATAGGTATGTGGCTGGCAAGGGGATGTTCAAATTGTTCCTATGTTTTTCCATGTATTTGGAAGGTCCTTGAAGGGTCATATCCCTATATCCATGTTCGAATATATGTTGGCACGGATATTTCGAAAAAAATTAAGAATCAGAGCAACATAGTTACAATATGCCAAAGGGACCAAAATATCACAATTTCATGTGCAAGTGCATAGGCCATAGAGTTCTCTAAATCTATCAAATGGCCTAGTTTCACCTTTGGAATAATCCATCCACATAAAAGATTGGAGTAAATACAATTTTCTCAGATGAGGAAAAGAAGAGAGAGCAACTCACATCTGCAAAACCAGAAGGCAATGGCGGAATAACTCTAAAAGCACGAGGTCGGTTGTCCAATTTGTATTTGTTCATCGGGATTGGATACCTAATAGGTGCAGACAGATGAGGGATACAGGACTGCTTCTTTGAGCTCGGAGATTCCCGCAATGCCATGGAGTTACTTGGTTTTGGACTTCGAGACACAACATTCTCCTCTGATTTGATCTTATCTATCATCCCTATTTCAGAGGAACTATGAATCAAAGCTTTTGCAGGATCTGCTGCAACTCCCACCTTTTGCCTCTTAGCAGCTGGCTCAGTCAGTAGATCTCCCTTGACAACCCCAGACTGCAAAAGGTTGAAATAGAATCAAACGTTAAACCTTCTAAAAACATGGGGATAACAACCCACATTTACGTTTTAAAACACTCATTTTCTGTTCCATCATTATCACTCAGCTCATTTCAGCATGTGCATGTAATCAGACCATTGGAAAAGAAAATGACATGCATGTGTGACAATCGTTGGTTAGGCAAATAGCCAACAGTGAAGTTTTTCACATCACTTGGCTACAGGATTCTATATCATTCAACAATACCATGGAAATATTCAACTTACAAACCTGATTTCAAAACAACAATTCTCGCGATATGTAAAATATACTCAAGAGTGCATATTTAGGAAAATTGTATATAAATTAAAGAAAGTTCTTGGTACTTGTTTCTCAATTTTGTCCAACTGGCGCCGGAAGTTGTTCCGCTTCTGTTCCAGCATTTGCTGTTTCTTGCTTAGTTCCTCTTTCATTTGCTCCAGAGTCTCTAACTTTTTCTGCATTGGAGGTGGAACCTGGGGACCATTCATACTACCAGGTTTAGGGGAGTTCAGAGAAGGCACATCGGCACCATGGACAACATTACTCTTCTGAGCAACAGGTTGAAGATTATCCTTTCCTCTGTTAGCAATAGGTTGAGATCGAATAGCAGAAGTTGTTAGACCACGTGGAGTTACAGATATGCCACTGCCACTTTTTATTCCATCAACAGGTATGTTATCCCGATTAGCCCACCAAAGCTTAATAAAACGGTTACCCATTATGGCATCAGGTGCCTTCAAAGCAGCTTCTGCCTCTTCCCTCCTTGAAAACTGGACAAAGGCCCGTTCACTATTTAATGGAATGTAAATGTCAATAACCTCTCCAAACTTACGAAAATGGGAAAGAAGAGCTTCTCTTTTGTTGCATTTCTGGGGAATCCCGTTCACAAACAGTGTATGAAGTGCCTTTTGAGTTGGTTTTCTGCTACTACGAAAATCAATCTGTGACTTCAACGAAGAATCCATAACTTTGGAGCCACCATCCTCACTGCTGATTCGTTTGACCTGACAGGAAGTATCTTCAGAGCTAGGAAATGCTCCTTGTTCTTCCTTGGTTTCATTCTCGAGATGGTCCGAGGGTATAGGATCAATTTTATCTTTTGTGTCTATTCCACTTCTGGAGCTACCAATTCTACCCCAAACAGACAAATCTGTGCCCTGTGACCCGGAGCTTCTAATTGGCAATTCATTATCAGCAGTATCACATAGCCTGCCATGAGGACGATCAGAGATGTCATCATTTAGCAATGGTTCTGTTTCATTAATCTTGGTTGACTGTACTCCGGTCAGAGAAGTTGATGCTTCTGGGCCATTGTTATTCCATAAGGGTTGATCAGGATCGTACAAATCGCCATTTGCACCAGTAGAACCAATATATGCACCATTCAAACCTATAGCATCCTCAGTCATTCCAGACTTGTTATTTTTGCTATGCATAGCCTTGCTGTTCATCAAAGTGGCTGAAGGAGGAAGGACTGAAGGTAGTGGACCAGGTCCAGCAGGTTTTGCCAATATTTGTGCACTTGGAACCGTGACAGAAATGTTAAACTGTGACAGACTCTGCAAATCAGAAAAGAAAGTTACTGTCGACTCAGATACTCGGGGATTGCTAAATGCTTCAAGGTTATAAGAACATCAAAGCCAAACAAGCAACTTCCCTACCAAGGTAATTTGGATTGCAAACAGTAAATATGAGAATATTTTGGAGAATTAGAATATTTAGACTAAACCTAACAGCGAGGCTCACTTTAAAGCCCTGCTTCTTGTCATAGTGTATCATATAATGCAAGTATATTGCCAGCAAACATTTAAAAGGTGTTAAAATGGAAATTTCAACATTTAAAAAGAAAGAAGGAAAGATCTTCAACACATTGTTCATTATTATATTTTATGTGGTCACCAGAGAAGGTAAACTGGATGAACAACCTCCCTAGCTGGTGCCAAGTGAAATTACATTGCCACATGACATAATATATATATATATATATATAGGTAGATAGATCAATTTCGTAGAGGCTCATGGAAAACTGCATAAAATAAACCTCCACAAGTCAATCAAGATAGACATTAGCAAAATGCTTACCTGAACATCTTCAACAACAATACGGTTGACACCATGCTCCATTGGGCACATATCTCCTCTTAGACAAAATCCACCTTATCAAAGTCTCTGCAACGTTGGTGAGGAATGCCCATATTCAATGAAGAACTCATCGGCGGCCTGAGCACCCCTTGTAAACCAATAGAATGGAGCGTATCAAGACCGCCATTTGGTATTCCTGGCATAAGCCCAAAGGCGCTCCATGATGAGGCTCGTGCATTTGAAAGATTTGGCAATCCCCCTCCTGCGAAGAGACTCGGAGCAACTGATCCTGGCTGAACCATTTGATAAGCAATATCAACTGGGTTGAACCAAAAATCAAGTTGATTCCGAGAAGAGTTGTCCCTTCCTCTCCCCCGACCAGGACCAGAATCTCCACTGAATGTTTGGTTTGACCTAATTCTCTGGTTCGTGTTCAAATGTCCCCGAGGAAGTGAAGCTAACCCAGGGCATCTTCTATCAAACTTAGATGTCAAGTTTTTCTCCAGAGGCAAACTGTTGGAATTTTTCCAGGTTTCACCTGCTTGAGATTCATCATGCCCATTTTCAAAAGGTTTATTGTGCTTTCTATATGGCCTTACAGACAAAGGGTCTGTAGAATCTCTTTCTAATGGTTGAGAGCATGTATCCAGCCTACGATGCTTATGGTTGCGATCATCATCTTCTTCATCACTAACTTCTTTCTCCCCTGGATCACTCATGCAATCAGGAGAAGAAATAACACCAAGCTTAGGTGATGAGACTTTCAGCTCCATCAGATCCTTTTGAAATAAATAATAAATCTGTGTCATTTTACAGCATACAAAAGCTCTAAACTCTAACCAAATGCGGCAGTCAAGTGCCTAGAGAAGAAATTTGAAGGAAAACGACAGAATAAAGGCAAGAGTTGAGGTAGGTATTAACAACATAAAACAGCATGGAAGAAAGCAATCTATGCAAAAAGCAAAATTAAATTGCAGACATTAAGGACATTTACATCACTGGAATGCCTGAGTGAAAAGAAACATGTTAACAGTCAAGACAAATAGAACTGTAAAAATTATTTATGTAATCAATAAGGCAGAGATATTAAATCCATACACAAGTAACTCCATAAACTTATCAGTGGACTGATTTGCTTGCTATCATGTATTCCTTAAGAAGAGTAATCTATTTTTAACACAATTTCTAATGCGCTTATTAAAATAACCATATGTTCAAATGAATCATATAACCCATAGTCCCCCAAACCATAAATCAATTTAGGGAAGCAAGGCAAACGAGATAGCCTCTATAAACAAGTTGATTACATTGTCAAATGCCTAAGAATGATATTTCTATAACCTGCTTTTTGACACATATAGTCAATTAAAGAATATTAAGTTTAAAGAAAATAAACTAAACTTTTGTAGCTTTATGGTGAGTGGTTTCCACAGGCCCAAATTTGACATTCGAAGTCTCTAATTCAAATCCATCTATCAAAATTACAGAAAAAGATCCACATCTTTGCCTCTATAGTTTAATTCTGGAAAATTAGTTAACAATACACTTTACTCTCCATCAAGAACATTGCAACACTTTGGAGATCAAACCTTCTGTCAAACGCCTAAAATTCATCCTGACATAAATACCGACGAACACACCAACTAAACCAAATGCCATTAAAAAATATCATTGAACATTGATGTGCTTATTTATGATTCTTAAAACTCATAACAGAACCAGAAGTTGCGGAAAATAATTGAATACCTCTATGGAACTTCTTTTTCACTCAAAATTGCTTCAAAGTTCTCGAAATTACACCAAAATTCGGGACAATTAATTTCTTTGTTCCCTGTGCATGAATTCTCTTTAATAACCAGCAGAAAACAAGCCCAACAACAACAATTCTCACTTAAACTACATTAATGCTGAGAATGACAAAAATCTTACACGCAAATTCAGTCGTAAATCAAGCGAACAAATAGAGAAACAAACCCTAATCCGAGTATTATTAAAAATATGCAAACAAATTGAGCTCAAATTAAATATTTTCCATGTAAATCCAATTACTTAGAAGAAATTCGAATAATTAGGGAAAAATCAAAACAAAATTAACCATCCAGGTTTCGCAGAAAAATAATAATCAATAAATAAAACTTATATAATGGTGGGCAAAATATTCTAGAAAAATATAAGGAACAAAGCCTTCCGAGCTACCGTCTGATTCCGGATCCAATCCGACCCAACTTGAGAACGAGAGAAGGTAAATTACGATGCGACTGAGGGCTATTTCTGGAAGATAGAAAAAAGAGTACGTCGTAGAAGGGAGGCGGGGAATGGCATGATCGTAATAAAGTTATAATTGAGGGGGTATTTTTATGTCGGAGATTTTCCCGAGGAGAGAGATTTATGGGGAAGAAGAACGTGGGATAAATCTTATTCGAGCACGAAGGCGAGAAGGGATATTTTCATTTCAAGCCCTTATTATTTCTTGTATATTTTCATCTGGCACCTATAAAGTTTCATTGTTTCAATTAATGATTAGAGTTTCTATTTCCCTTCAATGATTACGAAAAAAAAGATATTCATTTTTTTTGTACAAATGAGAGAAAGGCCGACTAAGATCTTCGCTTTTAATGCGTGTTTGATGTATTTATATTTATATAGTTGATGTCAAAAACATTTATAACAATATATCTTATCGATTTTTGTCATACTTCCTCCACCGTATTCATTAAATCGTAGTATTGATTCTATTCTTATCATTAAACAAAAAGTTTTTTTAATTATGTCATTAAAGTTTGATTTTGATGTCAATCAAGTTATTGGACGTTACATTGTTAAAGAAGATGGTGATGTGGTATGATATAATAACCGTTTTAATATCTAAAATTTTATATTCTATTAATGTCTTTCTAATCCTAAATAATACAACTAATTTAACTCTCCATATTTAACAATTATATCAACTTAGTCCCTTTTTCTTTTGTATAATCTCTCTTAAACCTTAACCATTTCTCTTTTCTTTAGTTTCTCAATAAATAACAAAGAAAACTTTCTCAAACCCGTAGTTAGGATACTATCTTGTCTATTCTCTAAAATTAAAACAAAATTTCCTTAAAATTTATTAAAACAAAAAATATGACGACAAATAGTAAATGTGATGGATGCAGTAGCTAAGAAAATGAATGCAATTAATGAAATAAACGATGTATGCTATATTAAAATAATATTTACATGTATTAAAATTAAAGGAAGTATTATTGAAAAATGGTATCCTTTTATGCGAACAATTCATGGAAACGTATTTCCCTTAAGTTAGAAAACTTTATCATAGATTCCTCTCACAAAAAGGATAATGTTATATTAAATTTGAAAGCGATCCGAATAAAAATATATGTTTTATACGAATAATCATTAGAAACACACTCCTCCTTTATTAAATATAAAAGTGTGAAATAAAATTATTACAATTAATAAGCTTGATTGACATCAACATCATCTCAAACTATAAATCAGTTTACTAGTCCTATGCAAGCACTCTTGAAAATTCTTTTGACAATATTAAAATTATACCAACGATTAAAAAAATGAAAAAAATAGTCATCATAATTTAGGTACATATTATGTAATAAATTTAATAAAATGAACGATACAACTATGAATTTTGAAACATAATACACACCATAACATTTTCAAAATTGTACATTTTTCTTCAAAGTAAAAAAAATACGTAAATTTTCATCATTAAATTTTATTATAAATTATTGAAAAAGTGAAAGGGTAGTTAATGAAAAATAAGAAGTGTTTGATTAAAATTTTATGATTTACATTTTTTTCAAAATTATAAATTTTAAAAAATATTTACTATTTTAAAAACAAATGATGAATAAAGGGTCTCTAGACGTGTGTTAAGGGATTTTTTTAGTCCTTGTGGTCAGATTCTGAGAATTTTCATTCCAAGAATTTTAGATAAATCTAATTATAAGTCCTCGACGTTTGCTTTTGTCCAATTTGCTGAGGAGGAAAGTAGGAAGAAAGCAATCCAGTTTGTGAATGGGAAGTGGTTTGATGGGAAGAGAATTTTGTTGGGGTTGCTATATATCAAAGGATAAGAGGAGGGAAGAGGATAAGGGGAAGAGAATGGTGGAGATCAAGCCAGGGGGAAGGGATATTTCAAATACTGGAAGGAAGTTTGAGATGGGTAGAGGTATAAGAGACGGCAGATCATATAAGGATGTAGTAAATTCTGAATGTAACTTGGAGGGTGTTAAGAAGAATGCTCATGTTGAGAAGAACATTTGGGAGATGCATATTCCATCAGACAACTCAGAATGGGTGAAGAGATCATTAACAGGGATAATGAAACCTTCTTTTGATCTCGTTTCGTTAAAGAAAGCTTTAGAGATGGAGGGGTGGAAGTTCAGATTACGATATGGGGTACGTATGGAATGTGTGCATCATTACATTCAATTCAGTTGAGGAGTTCTCTCACGTATGGATGAATAAGAAGAAAGAGTTGCTCTTGTGCTTAGACAGGTTGGCACCAGTATTGAACAAGGATAGAGTTCCGATGACTCTTTGTCAAATAGAGTTGTATGGATTGCCTTTGTTATGTTGGAATAAGTCATTCGTGAAGAAACTTTCTGAGAAGTGGGTGATTTTATTTATTTTAAGGAGGAATCAGTGACCAGATCGGACCAGTCGTTGGCGAAAGTTTTGCTAAGGGTGGAAAGTCCTTATGATGTACCTGAGACGGTTACGATTGGTTCTTATGGCAGATCCTTCACAGTTAAGATTTCGATGGGTTCTGTTTTGAAAAAAACCAGAAGAAGGGGAGGAAGATGGTGGAGAAAATTTAAAAAAATGTAACAGTGGTTATGTTTTGTCTAGGGAAGGGGTTGAGAGATGTCATTCTTTGGAAGCAGATGGTGATGAGTTCTCAGACGATGGTACATTCAAAGTCATATCTTGGTTGAATAATGGGCAGAACAGTGGTGTGAATTGAGTTTATGGGGGACAAGTCCCATCGGGTAAGTTAACAACAGAAAATTCAAATTGTGGGCTGTCAGGTTTCTTGGAAAATATGACTAACCAGATGGAAGTCATGTGGGCCTGGGATTGAGGGGTTTAAATGATCACGTTGACTTTGTTCAGTCAGAAGATAATGAGGTAGTTGGTTCTCCAATTAAGAAACTGATTCCTAATGGGCATGCTTACAATATAAAATGGGTTGGGAAAAGGTTTATTCTACAGTCCAATCCCTGTTTTAAAAATTCCTTGAATATTGTTGACGAGGGAGAGTCTAGGGTGATTAAGGAGAATATACAGGGGAGATGGAAGTGGTTCCAAGTGAACAGGGTATCGAATTGGAGATAGTTCAGTCTGCTGGCCAGAGGAGTCTGGATGGAGATCATGTATGTAGCTTTCAGACTCATAAGTATGCATAAATGGATATAAGGTCATATGATCAAGTGGATGGACTAAAGAAGATGAAGAAGGTTATGGAGGATAAGCAATGCAGTCAAAACGAGGGAATTGTATCAATTCCAAGTGTAAGGATCATGAATTATGAGAATCACGAGGGAAATACTTCAAAACTGATGAGGGTGGGTCAAATTTTAGCAAAGGAGGATCACCCAGTTCCAATTATCAATAATGTGAAGTGTAGTTCTCGATCTAAAAGTCTTAGAATCAGAGGATACTCCTTACCAAAAAGAAGATGAATCAGAGGATATTGAGAATAGTTCCTCAACGCTCAGGGTCCATATGGTTTCACGATGGGCTTTTTTAAGAAATTCTGGCCTTTCTTGAAGGATCATCTTATGAAGTTTGTGAATGATTTTTATAGAGGGAGGAGTTGTGAGCATGGGGTCAATCATGCTTTTATTACATTGATTCCCAAGAGACTTAATCCAGTAGGTATTGAAGATTATAGACCAATTAGCCTAGTTGGTGCCTTATACAAAATTATTTCCAGAATCTTATCGAAAAGGCTGGTTTCAATTATTAAAGATCTTATTAGCCCCTCGCAATTTGCATTTATCCTGGTAGGCAGCTGCTTGATTGTGCTTTTATGGCCAATGAATCCATAGACTTTTGGAGGAAAAAAGAAAGGAAAGGAGTTGTCTTCAATATTGATTTTCGTAAAGCTTATGACTCAGTCGAATGGCCAATTATTTTGAGATTATTGAAGATCATGGGGTTTGGGGAGAAATGGATTTCTTGGATTCGGTATTGTATTTCTTCTGCTTCAATTTTAGTTCTCGTTAATGGTTCTCTAACAACAGAATTTCATATGGGCAAGGGGTTGAGGCAAGGTTGTAGTTTGTCCCCTTTGTTGTTTAACATAGTTGGGGAACTCTTGAATTTAATGCTGTGTAAGGCTGTAAATCTAGGTTTTTTTGAAGGGTTTAGTATCGGTAAGGAGGACAATCCATTTAATTTGACTCATTTACAGTTTGCAGACGGTTTTATTTTATTCTACAGAGATTCTTCAACTCAAATTCTCAATATAAGGAGAGTTTTGAGGGTGTTTAGTCTAATTTCAGGGCTTCACCTTAATTTGTCTAAGAGTAAACTGTTTGGAGTTAATTTGGAAGAGGACATTGTGAAAAATTGGGCATCCGAAGCAGGTTGTGGGGTGAGTTATTTTCCTATGACTTATCTTGGTTTACCAATAGGTGCAATAAAAAATTCAGAAGTATTGTGGGAGTCAGTTCTGCAGAAAGTGTACAGCAGGCTAGCAGGTTGGAAAGTTTCCTCTTTATCGATGGCTGAGAGGGTGGTGTTGGTGAAATTGGTGCTGTCTTCTTTACCTATTTTATACCTTTCTATTTTTAAATTACCATTGAAGGTAAATCAGAAACTAAACTCTATAATGGCTAGATTTCTTTGGGGTGAAGAACAAGCCAAGAAACGGATCCATTGGATAAATTGGAATATGGTGTGTCAACCTTATGACAAGGGTGGCTTGGGAATCTTAGACGTGAGATTGGTTAACAGAGTATTGCTAGGGAAATGGGTCTGGAAGTATGCAAACGAGAAAGAAGCTCAGTGGAAAAAATTACTGTATTGTAAGCTTAATGTTAGTAATTTATCCTTATCAATATGTAATGTCGTTTCTCCTATAGACTCTTGGATATGGAGAGGTATTTTGAATAATTATGAGAAAGAGGATCAGATAGGGGAGTGTTTGAGGTCTAATTCGAAGATTCAAGTGGGGAATGACAAATCAATTGAATTTTGGAATAATGTTTGGGTCAATGGCTCTTCCTTAAAGAGTCAGTTCCCTAGGATATTTGCTCTATCGAACAATAAAAAAGGAAAAGTGACAGATTTTGGGTGCTTTGAAAATAATGGTTGGGTTTGGAATATTCAGTTAAGGAGGAACTTATGTGACTGGGAATTGATCAGTGGATGTCATTAATGCTTTTGATTGATAATATTCGCATGTCTGAATCAGTAGATGATTTCCTTGGGTGGTCAGGGAATGGTGATGTTTTGTTCTCGGTTAAGTCATGCAGAATGACTCTTTCAAGCAGAAATGGAGATGCTTTTCAGTGGAAGAAGTGGGTTTGGTCTGGTTTGGTACCTCCTAGAGTGGAAACTTTCCTATGGCATATTTCTCATAGGAAAGTGGCAGTTAGAGTGGAACTTAAGAAGAGATGAGTTAATCTGGAAAATGTCCAGTGTCCATTATGTCATAATTTTGAGGAATCAATTCAACATCTTTTTGTATCTTGTTCGGTTGTAATGGAGCTATGGAATAGATTCATAAAGTTTGGGATATTTCTACAGTTTTGCCCCAAGATCCTGCTTCACTACTTTGTTCTTGGTCTTATATTAGGGAGTACTCTACCATCTGGAAGTTTATCCCTGGAGTAGTTTTCTGGTCACTATGGAAAGCGAGGAATTCGGTGGTATTTGAAAACTAGAATTTTGATAGCTCATCTCTGTTCTTTATAACCAGATTTAGGATGGTTAAATGGTTTTTAGCTAAATTCCCTCTTGTTAATATTCAGGTTGATTTATTAATAGGGGATCCATCGCTTGCGAACATAATCTATACTAAGCTATCTAAGAAGAAGAAGGTTATTTGTTGGTCTCCGCCCCCTCATGATTTCTTTAAATTCAATGTTGATGGGCGATGAGAGGGGATAGGCTGCAGGGAGGAATTGGAGGAGTTTTGAAAGATTCCAAATGCTCTATTTTAACTCTTTCTCTATGGCTGTGGGACCTGGTCCTCCTATGTTTGCTGAGTTAAAAGCTATTAAGCAGGGAATTGATGTATTTCTTTCATCGGAGTGGGCAATGAAGAGAATAATTATCCTTGAGAGTGATTGCAGGAAAGCAGTGAATTGGATCTTGATACCTATTTATGCCCCAACGTTTTTTAGTTCTTTGGTTGAGGAAATTGGGGCCTATGTTTCTGCTAGGGGTTTTACTATTAATTGGATTCCAAGGAGTTGTAATTGGGAAGCAAAAGAGGGGATTGGTTGAGGTGTTGTGTTATGTTGTCGTAGTGTTATGAATTTTATCTAGGGATGTTTATTATGTAAGCTGTATCTTATGTAATTATGTGTTATTAATAAAATGAGACACTTTTTTCCTCCTTCCGCTAGTTGCCTCTTTCACAAGAGCCAACTAAGAGGGAGGTTTTTAATGAGGCCTCCTATTCCTATAAAAAAAAGATCCAATGAGATATTAATTATTAATTTAATGTGATACATTATGATGGTGTTTATTTTATAACAAAAATTGAATAATATCATTTTATAAATTTTAAAAGTTCAATGGTTAAAAAGAAGAATTTAACATAGTTTAGTGACTATTTGATAACTTTATCCAAAAGTTTATATAAACCTCGAACAGTATATAGTACGGTCTCCTCACACATCCCCGCCGTTAAGTTTGTTGATTTGTAAAACCCTATTTGAAACCCCGAGTTTCATCGTCTACTTATCTCTAAATTAAACAAATCCCACCAAAACAGAAGCAAAGCTTCGAAGAAAAATGGAGATTAAAAGTGAAACCAATGAAGGCAACTCAAAGAGGATCCAAGTCAGATTTGTAACGAAGCTAAAAGCTCCATATAAAGTTCCCAATACAGCCATTGCAATCCCTTCGCACTTCCATCGCTTAGGCCTTTCCTCCATTGTTAACAAGTTTCTTCAAGCTGGTAATCTTCTTTTTTATGTATATAATCCATTGAGATCACTGGTGGGCTTTTTTTTGGCTTTTTCTTGGCAATTTTTAATTTATAGTCTCCTTCAGTTTTCTTTTTATAGTTTCTTTAATTAACTATGGCTATTACTTATTTCTAGTCAATGGCTCTTGAGCTGTTTACAGAATTCATTTAACGGTTTCCTGGTTAAATCATTATTTATTTCTGTTATATAGTTGGGAATTTTGTGGCTGTGAGCAGTGAATTCTGAGTGGAAAACCGAGCCCTTTGATTTCCTGATCGACGGAGAGCTTGTGCGGATGCCTCTTGAGGAGTTTCTTCTTGCCAAGGGCATTTCTGCGGTACTTTTATATCTTTAATCTTTTTTTATGTCTGCAATTTTCTTTGTGTGAGTTTTAAATAGGTAGAAAAGTATTTGCGAGAACAACTTAAGAGAAATGTGCAATTACTATATTTTAGTCCTTATCAAACATGACTTGTTATCGATATTTTTAAGCTAAACGCAAACATAAGTGCTTAAATTATATCATAAGTTAACTTTAGATGAATAAATTTTTTTCTTTAAAATATATACTCAATGTTTTTTTTACACTTTTAGGTACCTAATGTTTTCTCTGTTATATTTTTAGGTGCATACACAATAATGACTAGTAAAAAACCGTTATGTAACATATGTCATATTTATATTTTGGCTTAATGCAAAAATAAGTGTCCAAACTATACCATAAGTCAACTTTAGGTGCCTAAAGAAATTGAATACATAAGAACTGTTGCCCCTCGAAAAGAGGCAGAGGCTTCTCCACATGATGATTGGGTCAGTGCAGTGGATGGTTCTAGTCCTAGGTAAGCCTCCCAAGATGCAGCCATTACACAGGTGCTTCATTTTGCATTTGTTGTGGCATTGATGTTGATGCGGGTGTTAATCTTATTTTTAAAGCAAGATTAGATCATTTGGTCGGCTTTACACTTATTTCATAACACTGCTTGACAAACATTGTTTTGCAGCTTCATTTTGACTGGTTGCTATGATGGCTTGGGAAGGTAAATAGACTTTTTCTGGTCGATTCTTTCTAACTTTTAAAGTTATCTGTTCTTTTCTTTTTGTTGCTTTATGGACTTCAGTGACAGAAATTGTGTATATGTTTCTTTTAACATTTGGAAAGGAGCGGCATGGTGTACATCAACTCAGAAGGTTAGGGCTAGTAGCGGTCATTTTTAACATTTTTATGCATTGAATGTATCATGAATGCTACTGCTTTTTTCTGATATTAATGGTCAATTGTATGCCTATTTTATGTATCATCCTTTCTGTCTTGGTGAAAATGATATTTGGTTTTTTGTGGTCTCTTTATGGCCAATCCTAAATCAATATCTACATGCAGGGGCAGGAAGTGCTACAGTAGTCACTGCTTCAAAGATCGAACTCTGAGGCTGTGGAAGGTAATTACGGAAAATGAATTTGTTTCTAAGTAGAAAATTAACCACTAATTGATACACTTTTTCCTATAAAAGTTTCATACCGAGGACTCTAGTGACCATCCAGCAAAGATAAGAGCATTCAAGATATTGCGTGGGCATAATGCATCTGTACAAAGCATTGCTGCAAAGACTTCGGGAGACATGGTATAAGCTATTTTTTGAACCATAGTTTTTTGTCTTCATTGTAATGTGATAATGTTAATTTTTAACATCAGGGTTGTCGCCTTTGTCTCTTTACTCGATATAGATTTACTCGGGTTCTTGGGATTGCACCATCAATTTATGGCGTACAAATGACTCTGATATAGATGGGGATACGGTGGCAATCAAAAAAAGGAAAGTGAATAATAAAGTTGAAGAACTTCAATCAGAGGTATGCCATCATTTTCATTTTCCCCCTCTGTATTTCAATTTTCAAGTAGCCGACTTATTTACCATCATGCATAAGAATTTCATTAAGTAACATCCCTGCCTTGTCAAAACTCTTTGAAAGTAAAACTAGAAGAACATGCACTTTTTTGAGAGCATCAATGATAAGTGCAACACCTTATCATCGATTAACCTCTGAATTTTTCCTTGCTTATTCTTGAAATGGTAGAATTTTGGAGGCCTTTTTATCATTATCATTAGTTTTGATGTTTCTCTCTGAATTTTTTATGACATAGCAGTTTCATTAGTTTTGATGTTCTGAATTTTTGTACAGGGAGAGGCAGTGTTTGCACTCGTGGGCCATACACAGTGCATCTCTTGTGTGAGTTGGCCTCATCATGAAACCATTTACTCTGCATCATGGGATCACTCTGTTAGAAAATGGGATGTTGAGACGGGCAAAGATCTGTATGATATAGTATGTATATCTCTCCCTCTATATATTTATGGTTATTGAACTCACTATGTTTCAAGAATTTTAAAAATTCCACTTCTTCATTCTCCGTTATCGGTTTATTGATAACGAGCTCATCTTCTTTTATCTGCACATCGATACTCTTTCCTTTTTCAACAGTAATATTTTTCTCAGGCTCTTTGAAATAGCATCTATCACTCCTGGTCAAGTGTCATACTTCATCTATTTCTTATTGCGACTTTGTTATCTCTCCCATTTGGCAATCATACCTCTAGAGAACTTGTTTATCATCTTTGTACGGGAACGGAGATGGAGGTGAAATAATCACCTTTGGACTTACCCTTTCAGTCACTCGATTCTTGGGAGTAATGATGAGGGGACAACTAGCACTGTAGACCCTTTAGACGATCCTTCAAAAGCGCAAATTTATGCTTCTTCTTTCTTAGCCACTTCTTTAAAGAACTCGATTTCTTTATCTATAATCTTTTGCATCAGCTCTAAGAAATCAGGACACCGTTGTATACTGTGTCCTGCACAACTATGGTAATGACATACCTTTCACTGTTACATTGTTCACATGGTAGACTGGCTTCAACAATCCCACTTTAATCATTTGCTACCATACCCAGGACATGGGTGATATCACCTCACTAACCTTCCTTCATTTCTCTTTGTGACTGCGTTAATCCTTATTCTTGTGTGGTTTGGCAATGAATTTTGGGCTATATTTGATTGTTCACTGTCACCAAAATTGATGGCATTCCTTGTTCTCAAGGCTTGGACGACATTTTTGAACGCAATGCAATTTTCAATAGAATGTATGGGATTCCCCGCATGATATTCACACTTAATACTAGCATCGTACCATTTGGGATAAGGGGTTGTATAGGTGCCATATGATAAGGCAAAACTACATGTCAATCGTATAATACGTGAAATAACTCCTTATAAGTCATAGGAATTGGATCGAATTGAGGCCTCTCTCTCTTCGGGTCCTTTGCCCCTTGTCTATTGTCATTTTGGGTGGTGCTTTCGTTCCCTGAGATAGGGACGTTGTGATGTCATTTGAATCATACTGTCTCACGTTGCTGACTTCATTTTCCTTTTTCCTCATTGTTGGTCTCTTGTTGGACTCTCCTTCCTCGAGCTTTTCGCTTTTAATTGTCATTTCGATAATTTCTCCCGCCATTACTATATTAGCAAAACTTCGAGAGGGATTACCACTAAGGTGCGAGAAAAAATAGGCCTTTAAGATATTAACAAAAATCATATTCTTTTCCTCATCTTCCAATGTTGGATGGACTTGCACTGCTACCTCCCTCAACCTTTGAGCGTATTGTTTAAAATTCTCATTGACTACTTTTCCATGCCTTGCAACATCATTATGTTACGCCTAACATCTTTCACATGTTTATACTAGTCAATAAAGGATTTATCCAGATCTTTCCATGATCTAATATCAACTCTTCTCAGTTGATTATACCATCGTAGTGCTGAACCTGTTAAGCTTTCTTGGAAGCAGTGGATCAATAGTGATCATCCCCTATGTAACAGTCATTTTCCTACATAGCATCGTAATATAAACGGAGGGATATCTGATACCATCAAATTTCTCAAAGTCAGGAGTCTTGAACTTTGGAGGCATGACCAAATTAGGAACTAAACTTAATTCCTTAGCTTCCATTCCATACATGCTAGTATCTTCTTTCATAGCCCGGACTTCACTTGCTAACTGTTTATATTGTTCTTGCAACTGCTTGTTTTGGTCTTTTTTTATCTTCTTAATCAAGGTCTAGAACCTGGTGACATGGATGTTCTTCAGGATGTGAACAAGATCCAGGATGCAGATTCACAGCAACGCCGACAGGATTGATGTGTACTTGAGTGGGAACAAACGCCTCTTGGATATTCTGAGATTGTGTTGGGGTGAACCTAGAGGATAAAGTGGTTCCTCAGTTATTGGCACTGGGCTCTTTCCATGTTCCAGATTCATTCCTTCCAACATACTTGCCAACTTAGAAATCATTTCCTTTTGAGCCTTCAGCATGTCTTCTTGCATTTTCTTTATATTCTCTTGCAACTCGAGCTGAGTTTTCTCAATTTGAACAATCTTTTCATCCATGACTTTCTTTCTGGTACTATAGGGATGCTTGGAAGTTTCCAGCATTTCTCTGTCACACAGTTTTTTTGTTAATGTTTACATTTTATTAATGAATATGAAATATATGATTATGAATGAATAAAGTGCGGTGCAAAAAATTCAAATGTATTGCACAAAATAATAAAATGATGCATATACAAAATGCAGGGTGTTGATCCTGGAGCGATTCCTTATAACAACTCTTTATATTAGGAACAACGTTCAATTACAAGGTCGAAACATATCACAGATAAATCTGTACTATTTATCCTATTTGTTGTACATGTGCTAGCAATTCCACAATCTTCTGGTTTTCTTCAGCCTCGGGATTCAGTTCTTCACTTATAGCAACAACTTCTTGAGATAGGTTTACCAAATATTGTGCGATTCCCCGAGCATGTCCTATGTAACAAGCACTAAGGTCCTCTCTTCGCTTAACTCTCACCTGAGCTTGCTCCCATCGAAAACGCCACTGAACATCCCCCTCATAAGGAACCATCGATAACTCACTTTCTTGCCTCTAAAAATCCTGAACCATGACTTCGAGCTCACACACTCGTTTCTTCAGATTTTCAACTTCTCCACGACTTGAACTACCTTCCCGTCTCCGGTACCATTATAACGCAACCTTTAAACTCGAAATCTTCCCCTTCAACTTCTCACTCTGGGCTTGATCTTCTTGTAACCGCTGCTCTAAATAATTCTTTTCTCTTGACAAAACTTGATGTCTGCTCTGTTTGAGCTCTTCCTGACTCCCCGGCTTTTCTCTTTAGTCTCGCCACTTCCTGTCTCTACTCAACATATAATTTACTTGAACTGGAAGCTGTCTGAGCTTTCACCATTCGCTGGTAAGATAATTGAAGATTGTCAAAATCTAGCCGAAGTTGTTCTCCACTTTTTCAATTCGATCCGCTCTACCCTTTTGAATTTCAATCACCAACCCTCTCTAGTATACTTTATTTACTAGCTTTTGCAAAGCCGTTCTCCACTGTCTCCTTTCCGCATCAAAATCACGATTAGCTAGCTCTAATGGAGATGACACCATCCTTAAATGTTCTTCCATAGGATGAATGTTTTCAGGATTCAACATCAGGATGTTGTCATTTACTCGGCTGCTTCTCCATTGCTCGTACTCTTGTGATAACTCGAGATCATAGGTGAATAGATTTACACGACGAGTTTTCTTCCAGGCCTCAGCAACCCCCTTGATTTTACTCTTGTACTGATCTTCTTTGAATGCAAAATCTAACATGACAAGTCCTATGTGGCTGAAATGAACTGACAAGTCTCATGTGACTGGAATGAACTGCCTTGACCCATAGTGTCCAGAAACTAATAGAGGTGCATACCCAACAGAACCCGAAATGCTTAGTAAAGGGACCCAATCTTGCTCTCCACACCTGTAAAGTATATCCAAAGAGACATTCCATGAAGCTCGCCATAAAATATCAACATCATTGATATCTTCAAAGATTACCATTCATTTCTCTTCGGTGAAACCCCCAGGCCATTCTTTAGAAAGGAAATCCTTCAAAGGTGACTCGTCCTGGTGCCCTTTCAACGTGCTTGAAATGACTAAGAATCCACACTAGCAGTAGGGGTGCACACCCTATAAAGCGTCATTCTCCTTCTCGCCTACAAGAACTCAAATAACGAAACGTTTCAGCTAGAATGTTGGAACAAGGTCCATATACTTGTCTAATCTTTCAAAAAGGTCAACGACTGATATATCTACATATCCTATCACCTTCGGGAAAATAACGAGCCCATAAATCCCTAGAGCAAACAGGTCAAGCTTCTTCCTCTGATCAGGGTGATGATTAATTACTTCTTTCAGAGCAGTCCAAGAAATGCACTCACTGTCTCCTTTCTTCTTAATGTTTTTAACAACCCAATCTTCACTCATTCCGTCATCAATAACAATTTCTTCTTGAATGAAAGAGTGGTTGGCGGCTTGGTATAGATTATATCCATTTGGGACCTAGAACACTGGATTAAAGCTCGATACTCCTCTATTGTTGGTGTCAGATCCACTCTACCAAATGTAAAACAACTATAAGCGAGATTCCAGAACTGCGTCAGGGCCCTAAACAGTTTGATGTCTGGATACGTGTCAGAGTTGTTTGGCTAGACTCACATCAATATACGTCAAAATGATTTGAATGAGCTAAAAGAGATATGGGGAAGATAAGAAGCAATCGATAAAGAGATGTTCTATCAGTTATATGGCGATATACCTTATCTTCTGGATGTTCCAATCGATCTGAATCTGTTTAGAGCCCTGTCGCAGTTCTAGAATCCCGCTTATAGTTGTTTTACATTTGGTAGAGTGGATCTGACACCAACAATAGAGAAGTATCGAGCTTTAATCCAGTGTTTCAGGTTCCAAATGGATAGAATCTATACCAAGCCGCCAATCACTCCTTCATTCAAGAATAAATTACTATTGATGACTGAAATGAGTGAAGATTGGGTTGTTAAAAATGTTAAGAAGAAAGGAGACAATAAGTGCATTTTTGGATTGCTCTGAAAGAAGTAATTAATCATCACCCTGATCAGAGGAAGAAGCTTGACCTGTTTGCTCTAGGGATTTATGGGCTCATTATTTTCCTGAAGGTGATAGGATATGTAGATATATCAGTCGTTAACCTTTTCAAAAGATTAGACAAATATGTGGATCATGTTCCAGCCATTCGAGCCGAAACGTTTCGTTCTTTAAGTTCTTGTAGGAGAGAAGGAGAATGACACTTTACAGGGTGTGCACCTTACTGCTAATAAGAATTTTTAGTCATTTTAAGCACGTTGAAAGGGCACCAGGACGAGTGTTTCTGGACGGTTTTCCACCTTTGAAGAATTTCCTTTCTAAAGAATGTCCTGGGGGTTTCACCGAAGAGAAATGGATGGTAATCTTTAAAGATATCAAGAATGGTGATATTTTGTGGCGAACTTCATGGAATGTCTATTCGGATATACTTTACAAGTGTGGAGAGCGAGATTGGGTCCCTTTACCAGGCATCTGTGTTCTGTTAGGTATGCACTTCTGTTAGTTTCTAGACAGCATGGGTCAAGGCAGTTCATTCCAGCCACATGGGATTTGTCAGGGTCATATTTTGCATTCAAAAGAGATCAGTACAAGAGTAAAGTCAAGGGGGTTGCTGAGGTCTGGAAGCAAACTCACCGTGTAAATCTATTCACCTATGATCACGAGTTATCAAAAGAGTATGAGCAATAGAGAAGCAGTCGAGTAAATAACAACGTCCCGATGGTGAATCCTGAAAACATTCAACCTATGGAAGAACATTTAAGGATGGTGTCATCTTTATTAGAGCTAGCTAATCGTGATTTTGAGGCGGAAAATAGATAGTGGAGAACAACTTTGCAAAAGCTAGAAGATGAATTGTACCAGAGATGGTTGAAGATTGATATTCAAAAGGGTAGAGCGGTTCGAATTGAAAAAGTGGAGAAACAACTTCAGCTAGATTTTGACGATCTTCAATTATCTTACCAACGAATGGTGAAAGCTCAGACAACTTCCAGTTCAAGTAAATCATATGTTGAGTGGAGACAAGAAGTGGTGAGCCTAAAGAAAGAAGCCGGGGAGAGTTAAGAAGAGCTCAAGTAGAGCGGACATCAGGTTAAGGTTTTGTCAAGGGAAAAGAATTATTTAGAGAAAAGGTTATAAGAAGATAAATGCCAGAGTGAGAAGCTGAAGGGGAAGATTTCAAGTTTAGAGGCTGCGTTGCAACGGTATTGGAGCCGGGAAGGTAGTTCAAGTCGTGGAGAAGTTGAAGGTCTGAAGAAACGAGTAAGTGAGCTCAAAGCCATAGTTCAGGATTTTCAGAGGCAAGCGAGTTATCGATAGTTCCTTATGAGGGGATGTTCAGTGGCTTTTTCGATGGGAGCAAGCTTAGGCGAGAGTTAAGCGAAGAGAGGACCTCATTGATTTTACCTAGGACATGCTCGGGAATCACACAATATTTGGTCGACCTATCGTAGGAAGCTGCTTTTATAAGTGAAGAATTGAATCTCGAGGCTGAGGAAAACCAGAAGATTGTGGAATGGCTAGCACATGTACAACAAATAGGAGAAATAATACAGATTTATATGTGATATGTTTCAACCTTGTAATTGAACATCATTCATATAAAGAGTTGTTCTAAGGAATCGCTCCAGGATCAACACCTCTGTATTTTTCATATACATCATTTTATTATTTTTTGCAATACATTTGACTTTTTCGCACCACACTTTATTCATTCATAATCATACATTTCATATTCATTAATAAAATGTAAATATTAACAAAAGAACTATCTGACAGAGAAATACAGGAAACTTCTAAGCATCCCTATAGTATTAGAAAGAAAGTCATGGATGAAAAGATTGCTCAAATTGAGAAAACTCAGCTCGAGTTGCAAGAGAATGTAAAGAAAATGCAAGAAGACATGCTGAAGGCTCAAAAGGAAATGTTTCTAAGTTGGCAAGTATGTTGGAAAGAAGGAATCCGGAACATGGAAAGAGCTTAGTGCCAATAACTGAGGAACCACTTTATCCTCCAGGGTTCACCCCAGCACAATCTCATAATATCCAAGAGGCGTATGTTCCCACTCAAGTACACATCAATTTGTCGGCATTGCTGTGAATCTACATCCTAGATCTTGTTCACATCCATGTCACCAGGTTCCAGACCTTGATTAAGAAGATTAAAAAGACCAAAACAAGCAGGAACAATATAAACAATTAACAAGCGAATTTCGGGCTATGAAAGAAGATACTAGCATACGGACTGGACGCTAAGGAATTAAATTTAGTTCCTGATTTGGTCATGCTTGCAAAGTTCAAGACTCTGACTTTGTGAAATTTGATGGTACCAGATGTCCCTCCGCTCATATTACGATGTTCTGTAGAAAATGATTGGTTACATAGGAGATGGTCAACTATTGATCCACTACTTCCAAGAAAGCTTAACATGTTCAGCACTACGATGGTATAATCAACTGAGCAGAGCTAATATTAGGTCATGGAAAGATCTGGCTAAATCCTTTCTTGACCAGTATAAACATGTGAAAGATTTTAGGCCTAACATAATGGTGTTGAAAGGCATAGAAAATATGTCAATGAGAATTTTAGATAATACACTCAAAGGTGGAGGGAGGTAGCAGTGCAAGTCCATCCACCATTGGAAGAGAAGGAAACAAATATGCTTTTTGTTAATACCTTAAAGGCCTCTTTTTTCTCGCACCTTATTGGTAATCACTCTCTAAGTTTTGCTGATATAGTTACGGCGGGAGAAATGATCGAAATGGCAATTAAAAGCGGAAAGCTCGAGGGAGGAGAGTCTAACAATGAGGAAAATGAAGTCAGCAACGTGAGATAGTATGATTCCAATAACATCACAGTGTCCCGACCTTAGGGAACGGAAGCACCACCCCAAAATGACAAGGGACCCGAAGAGAAAGGCCTCAATTCGATCCAATTCCTATGACTTATAAGGAGTTATTTCGCGTATTATACGATCGACATGTAATCTCACTTATTATGTGGCACCTATACAAACCCTTTATCCTAAATGGTACGATGCTAGTGTTAAGTGTGAATATCATGCGGAGAATCCCATACATTTTATTGAAAATTGCACTGCGTTCGAAAAGGTCGTCCAAGCTTTGAGAACAAGGAATGCCATCAATTTTGGTGACAGTGAACAACCAAATATAGCCCAAAATCATTTCTAAACCATACAGAGCAGGGATTAACGCAGTCACAAAAGAGAAATGAATGAAGATTATAAGGAAGGTTAGTGAGGTGGTATCACCCATGTCCTAGGTATGCTGTCAAATGGTTAGAGTGAGATTGTTGAAGCCCAGTTGCCTTGTGAACAATGTAACAGTGAAGAGGTATGCCATTATCATATTTGTGCAGGACACATTATACAACAGTGTCCTAATTTCTTAGAGCTGATGCAAAAGATGATGGATAGTAAAGAAATCGAGATCTTTAAAGAAGTGGCTGAGAAAGAAGAAGTAGAAATTTGCGCTTCTGAAGGATCGTCCGAAGATGTCTACAGTGCTAGTTGTCCCCTCATCATTACTCCCAAGAATCGAGTGATTGAAAGGGTAACTCCAAAGGTGATTATTACACCTCCATCTCGTTTCCATACAAAGATGATAAACAAGTGTTCTGGAGGTATGATTGTCAAATGAGAGAGATAACAAAGCGCAAGAAGAAATAGATGAAGTAGGACACTTGACCAGGAGTGATAGGTGTTATTTCAAAGAGCCTAAGAAAAATATTACTGTTGAAAAAGGAAAGAGTATTGATGTGCAAATAAAAGAAGATGAGCTCGTTATCAATGAACCGGTAACGGATAATGAAGCAGTGAAATTTTTAAAATTCTTGAAACATAGTGAGTTCAGTATTGTTGAACAACTGCACAAGTGCTTGCACGAATTTCTGTTTTATCACTTTTTCCGAGTTCAGAGGTCCATCGAAACACCCTGCTAAAAGTTCTGAACCAGATATTTGTTCCGAATGAGTTGCCCATAGAAAAATTGGGCCGACTAGTTACTAACATACAAGGCAATAACTTTTTATCTTTTTCTGAGGATGAGAACCCTTCGGGGATGATTGGCAGTCATAAGGCTCTGCACATTACAGTTAGGTGCAAAGGGCATGTTTTATCCAGAGTACTGATAAACAATGGTTTAGCGTTAAATGTAATGCCCTTGGTAACTCTGAAAAAATTGTCAGTAGATAGTACCCTTATGAGAAGCTGCCAAAGTGTGACTCGAGCTTTTGATGGAACATTCTTTTTTATTCTTAAATCGCATTATACCAACCAAGATTTGAATTTATTGTACAAACCAAGTGATTTCGGTGATAAAGGAAGTTTGAGCACCATGAATGTCAGGAATGTGAACATTCAATATTACATGGTTGAGATTTATCTTTAAACACATACTACTTTGTAGTTATCCTTTATAAATTAATTTTTTTAATCCATTGATCTTTTAAAATAGCCGCCGAATTGATTTTCAGATTCTTTGTTAAGTTACAGTGTCTTGACAATTCAAAACAAAATGGGTGCTGGTTCAATTATTCAAATAGGTAAGATTTTTGAATTTCAGTCACAAAAACACGTGTAGTCCAAACTCATCTCTCATTTCTCTCAGCTAAAATAAAAAGTCATAATGCCAAAATTAGCCCTCCGATATTTATTAAAATGGTGATTTTAATCCCTATTTTTCTATTAAAGCATTTTGACTCCTAATATTTCATTTTGAGACAAAAAGATCCCTCCGTAGATAGAAACCGTTGGTTAACAAATGATTAACGCTTCAAAATAGGGGTCCTTTTACATAAAAATGAAATGTTAGGAATTAAAATGTTCTAGAAAAAAAAAAAATTGTCAAGGTGATTATTCAATCGAATGTTAGGTGCCTTTTTACCCAAAAATGAAATCTAAATGCTGTAAAAAAAAGTCAAAATAACCATTTTGATAAACATTGAAGACTAATTTTAACATTATACCAAATAAAAAACACAATCGACTCTTTCAGGTCAACAAATAAGATATTCAAAGACTTATTCCCCAAGTTACCTTGGAAGGCATTCTAAAGAAGATTTAGGCATTGCAGTTTATTCATAAAATACAACACAAATCCCCTTCCTACATAAAACACTACAGACGTGTACTACTTTGCTATCATGCATTTCTCCTCCCATTCTTCTATTTTCTTTCAAGTATGTGGAAATATGATCCTCCGTATGTATGGAAAAACAATATAAAATCTCATCATACCCGTATTTGACCCGAGTCCGAGTAACAGGTTTTCACCTCGTATGAGGATTATGCAATGATTTTTGAGATCCCTCAAACAAATCCAAACAAGTAATCCTGCAGATCCTCAGCATTGTACCTGATATGTTTCTCACCAATGTGGTACATTTGTCTTCCCACAAATGTTTGATATGCCTGGATCACTTTCAGGGATGTTGAAATCCGTAAATCTTCTCGGAGCTGAGGGTCCGGGATAACCCATGCCGTCTGCGTCTTATAGACATCTTCAAAAGCAATGTAAAAGCTCCGCAATCTCTCCTTCAGAAGCGTCCTCGAGATTGAGCTGTTGCTGGAATTGCTCTCGTCTTTCAATAACGAGAGAATACAACTCCAGGTTGCTCTCTCATAGTCCATTGCGTGCTGCTGGAATTTCCAGTTGTGCTTTCGTACCCACTTGTCTCCGAATATGCCCTGGAGTTCCGAATTTTTAACCTTTTGAGCCATGTTGCAATGAAGCATCCCTATATAATTTGGATTTCTCGAGGAGATTGGCTTCTAGGATTGAGGTGAGTGATTGCAAATGCAGTGCCATTGCAGAAACACTGCCACAATAATCATTACTCGTACTTCCGTCCTCCGTAGCAGGACTCAAGTCCAGGGAGAGTGACGTTGCTGCTTCTCTGTCGTCATTCTTGAGGAGTAAATTTAGGGTATCTTTATAGTCTACAAGAAGCTTTATGTAATTCATAACATATCTGCTCAGGGGGTGATTTCCCCCTCCCGCAAAAGGGATTGTTGATGTGTTCGATGCAACGGCATTCTTGAATTCGAGAAACCTAGCCCTTACGGAATCAGCCAATCTCTTCAAAACCTCATGGTACTCGATTCTAACAGAAGAACCAGCTTCATCCAAAAACAATGCATCAATGTCGGGAAGAAGATCTGCAAGCACATCATACATGTCTAAAAACCGAACTAGCTTTTCCGGTTGATGAGAGCCGATCGAGATGGCCTCAGCAAAGTTCAGAAGCTGCAGCATTGGAGCCTTTGCCGCTTCAACAAAACATACCGAACTAGCCGATCCAAGCTCCAAAAAAATCTGGTCGCAGAGCCACTTCTCGCTGGCGAGATAGGGAAGGACAAATACCTTCATAGCTCGAATCCATCTCTTGATTTTCGAATTCAAGGTACCCCACTCCATCTTCAACACGTCTTCAATGCTCAGATTCTCGATTTCAAGATCGAAAAGGCACTCATCCAATGCGTCCTTTCGAACAATGACATACGCCTGGCAACACTCTTTATCGTAATTTGACAGGAACATTGAATTGGCAATGCATTTGAGATCATGAATCACATCAGGATGAACCAAATCAACAATACAGTCTTCCGATGTTCGGCTGACGCTACATCCGGCTGCCGACTCCTCAAAAGAGTCATCCCCGAAAGAAACCATCGATCCCACATCGGCACTATCATCCTCACTGGATAGGAACGAAACGTGCTCGAGCTCAAACGGTTGCCTATGCTGAACAAGTAAGTACTTAAACTCCTCCTCAAGCCTTTGCATCGCCAGCTGAAGAACATCATGAGCCCTACGCAACAACTCTTTCTCGTCTTCACCATTCAAGCAGCGATTCTCCAATTCTCCGACTTCCGAGCTTCTTCGATGGCATTCAGATACTCGGAAGCTTTATCGGGACCCGAATAAAAAATCATGGACTCATCAGTCTCCCAACTCATATTCTTTTTCTCAACAATACTCAACTGTTCTTCAATCCCAGATTTCACACCCTCAACATCTTCATCCTCGATCGTAGCCATATTCGATAATTAACTACCGAGATCTGCTAATGTCATTTTCACATCCTTGGTGAGATTCTTATTTGAACCCAATGCCCTCACTATATGTTTAGCAGCAGCAATCAAATTTTCTTCGCCTTCTAATTGTGGAGCCATAGATTCACAATCCCCCATGAGTATTCAAAAACAAAGAAACTCTAAACTTGCCCCCTTTCGGAAACAGTGAAATGAACCCCCAAAACTGCTTAGAACTGTTGTTGTAAACCCCAATTACAAACTACCATCCAATTGAAAATCCAAGAAACCCAGTTTTTTTTAGAGACTCAAAACACAAGATTCAAACTCAGAGAAATGGTAAAACTATCAAAAGAAAGAAAGCACAGGACAACACAGGTCAAGAGAGAATGAAGTGAATTGCGTGTACGGAAAGCACAAAGGAAGAAGTGAAACCAACCTTAAAATGGGAGGTTTGCGTAGTTTTTATTTAAGGGAATTGCAGCTTTACTTGCAACTTTGTCGGTTCAAAATCTCCCCTGTTATGTTTAATTTGTTTAACAAAAAGTAAATATAAACTAGGGTAAACTGCACAAATAATCACTAATATTTGAATAATTTTTTATTTTTTCCATTGAAGTTTCAAAAGTAACAAATTAATCATAAACATTATCGATTTATAACAAATCGGTCTCTCGCTGTTAACGGTCATTACTATAGTAACGAAATACTGATGCGGTACGTTAAACCGGATGACTTAACATGTTTGACCATGTGAGATACCCTTTGACCGACCGCGTTAGACTCTTTTAGTAAAATACTTCTTCTCCTACTACAATATTCTTATGAGTAAAATACTTCTTCTCCTACTACAATATTCTTATGAGTAAAATACTTCTTCTAGTCTGTGGCTAAAGCCATGGTTCTATTCAGGCTTGCCAATTAGGTCACTTGTTTTATTGCAAAGTTATACTACATTCAAACAACATTTTTTTTAACTTTCAAACACTTTCGATTCGATGATAAAAGAAGACGACGTTATAGTTCGTTGAACATTGCAGTCATGTTACTGTTTTGTTCATACTATTGTTGTATCATGTGAGACAATCGACCAACATTTGTCTAACATCATAGGAGCGGTCGAATACGTGTTAAGGAAACTGTGTAAACATGTTTCAACGACTATGTTCATTCAATTCCATAACTATCGGCGAGTAAATAACTTTTTTATCTCATCTTATTTTTTAATTTGATTCAATTATTTTTCACTTTTTATTTTATTGGTTATTGTTTTGTCTTACACAAACTTTTTATATATATTTATAACTATAAACAAATAAATAATTTCTTTTATTGGAATATGAGTTCAAATTTATTAAACCCCGTTCAAATTTAATAAACTAGATGTGTTAGTTTTTGACTTGCGACTTGAATTTGAAACATTCACACTATTCTCATTAAATTTGATTTAACTGCAGAAATCATTCATTTGCATTCGCTGTATTTTATTCCAAAATAATTGTTATTTTAACTTGTAATGATTCGATTTTGAATTGAATTAGACTAAAATTGATTTGAATTTCAATGAATAAATTATTTAAATTAAAATAATTATTAAATTTATTTCTAAGATAAAAAAAATACGCATTTCCATTTATTTCTATAATACTTTAAGCATTTAGATTTTTTAGAATAATATATGAATATCGTTCATCCTCTATCATCTTCGATTTCTATTTGTCCCCTCTCACTCTACCCGTTTTTCCTCTTGGAAAACAGGTATGTCACATATATTCAAATAATGTCTCTTTATTAGATTTTTGGGTAAACTATACATTTAGTACCTAAACCATCAATTCTGACCTGTTTTAATACCTAAACTTTCAATTTTTTCAAAACCATACCTAAAATTTAGTTTTTATTTCATTTTAGTACCCTGCTTTTAAAAAGCATACCTAACTTTTAGTTTTGTTTTTGTTTCATTTTAGTACTCCACTGTAAACTACACGTTTATTACCCTAAACAATCAATGTCGTTACTAAGCTTCCATTCTACCATGGCAAATTCATGAAAAAAGCTTAAGCAAATGCTTTAAGATGGCTAGCTCTGTATTTAGCACTGGAAATATGTAAAGATTTTTTCCATCATTAAGAACGAAAGTAGAAATTTACATAATTGCTACTGTCAAGACTTGTGATGCCTAATCTCACTCTAATCGAACTTCATACCATTGAATTGAACCAACATCTCCATCTATTTCCAGTTCACAGACTGACCTTACTAAGTAAGAAACGGCATCATCGGTGGTCATGAATCTTGCAAGGTCCGGTGGAAGGGTCCCACCAGGCCAATTTTCAAGCCACCCCTTTAACTTGGCTTCCAACTCTTCTTTGGAGACAAACTTCTCATCCTGTCCGGGTTCCAGTAGAACATAGGTCTCTGTCCTTGAATATGCTGCCCTTCTCCTCCTGGTTGCACAAACCTGACAAAGAATAAACCAAGTAAAGATACCAGAAGACCAAAAAGAAAGCAGCAATAAGGTGAAGATTTTAAGATTTTCGAATGGTTCCTCTTCATTACTCCACTTTCCACTACATAATGTATCGGAACTGCTTAAGCATTTATTACATAACTAAGAAGGTTTATAGTGATAGCCCTAAAATGAAAATGAGCATTTGGGAAGTAATGTGTACCATCACGGCATTGCGATGCTGGCTCCCCATTTTAAAAAGATTCACATGAACAGAACTAAATTTATCGGATCCACATACTTGACTTGCTTGAACAAATGGTGCAAGAACGTACCTTGATAAGAAATTACCTGCAAACAAAGGTTAGTGATGATATCATTAGCAACATGATATATAGACCTATCTGGCTTATAATAGAAGAAGTGTTCTTTGTCTTCTGGTTATCAAATTGAACAGGGCGCTCTTCTGTATAAGCTTTTAAAGTCATTCAGACAATTTTAAGGTCAAATTTCTTCTCCTCAACTCGAGAATTAAATTCCAATTAATGAAAAACAATTTCTAGACAAAAAAAAAAGAAGTCATAGTCAACAAATCAGTAAAGCCAATGTTAGTTCCTCATACGGTAAACTTACCAGTCCCCACTACATTGATTAAGGTTGATGCTGCAGCAACTGAACAACAATCTACTCAAATTGTAACTAATTAGTTGTTAATAATGAGTTCAAACCCCAATTTATGGGTTACATCACGACACAAAAATACCCATGAATGACATGTCACAGCTGTTCAATAGATGTCATATCAAGAACTTCAATACGTGAGAATCTGATTCTAAGAGCAGATGGTTTCTGATAGCAGAAGAATGTAAAATGACAAATTGATCTTCAAGATGATCCTTAGCTACGGATTCTCTCTGTCAGACATCCCCCAAACTAAATACTTTCATCTTCATCAGGAAACGAAATACCATCTCTGAGGGGAACGTACCCAAAATCCTTCATATGGTCTACTGGTACTACAATTACTTCACATATCTTTTCAATCTGATAATGGCCCTTGTCTTTCACCGCAAACTCAAGCTGTACATTCCTCACCTCAATCAACCTATGTGCAGCTTCTTTTCTCAGACCTCTCTCCTCATGAGCCTTCTCATTGCTTCAGAACCATCATATCTTCTTGCTGCCACATAAACATTCGATAACATTACATATTTGGCAGCATTCTTTGGTTCCAGTTCAAACATGGCCTCCTCTGCCTGCCTGGCAAGACCTGAGTTACCATGAACACGAAAATCACCAAAAAGCAAATCCCACATGTCAACACATTATGATCCATTAGAAGTTCTCTTAATCATATCCATGGCCTCCTCAAGCTTGTTTTTCCTTCCAAGAAAATCAATCAGGATTGCATAATGATCAGACCTAGGGTTCACATCGAAATACTTTTCCATTGTCTAAAATCTTCATTTCTTCAGAGACTAGACCTGCTTGACTACAAGCAGTTATTGCCCCAAGAAATGTTATGTGATTAAGTCTAAAATCTTCTTCTATCATTATTTTGAATGCATTAAGTGAGTCCTCTTCCTGCCCATTTTGAGCAAACCCAGTTATTAATGAGTTCCATGAAACAACATCCTTTTCACGTGTCCTCTCAAACAATAATTTAGTTGAGTTCATGTCTCAGAACTTGCAGTACACTTCAATTAGTGCGTTAAATACAAACAGATTCACCAAAGCACCTCTACTGCCGATTATAACCATGTGCACATGGATCTGTTTACCTTTCTCGATAAGTGCCAAAACCGCACAAACACTATAAACAGAGACAAATGTGTGAGCTAGCCACACTCCTTCCTCCAACATCAGCCGAAAAAGATCCAATGCTTCATTTCCACAACTATTTTGAGCAAAAAAAGCGATTAACCCAGTCCAAGATACCGTACTCATAATCAGCATTTCCCCAAAAACATAAAAAGCAGCCTCCAATCTAGATGCTTTAGCATAAACAACCACAATAGAAGTCCACGAAATCACATCCCTTTCACTCATTTGATTAAAAATCCTATACACAATGTCCCCTTCCCCACATTTCCCATAAGCATCGAGCAAAGCGTCGTAAGCAATCAAATGCATGTCCAAACCAAAAACAATGACAAAGCTATGGACTAGAAACAAAAATCTTAGAGCACCTAAGCTAGAACAAGCACCAACAATTTCAAAAACCGTGCAACTATCAACAACCATACATTCCTTTAGCTTCTTTTTTTAATACAAGTACTGATTCCTTGTAAACCCCATGCTGGGAAAACCAGAAATCAGTGAATTATAACTAACAAGATTTCTCCTTTAGCATTTGATCAAACAAATTGTAAAATTACAAAAACCAAATATATAATTTTTTTGAGAATAAAATACCAAGATATAAGAATGTTCCAAGAATGGCTGTTTTTTACACGAAGTTCATCAAAGGCCTTTTGGAAAGTTTTTGTTTCATTGAATTTTGAGTACATGACCATAAGATGGTTATAAAGACTAAAGAGTCTAATAGTCGGAGCGTTCTTGATAAACCGTGGATGTAAAAGTAAGCCTAAACTCAAGTTCTTGCTTTTCACGGGTTTTGGGGCTTATTCTAGCTTCAGGAATTCATAAAGATTTTGAAAAGTACATTCACAGCTTAAATGATAGTTTTCTTAAAAGGCTTAAATGGGAAAAGCTTACAGTTATAGAGCTGAAACCCATTGTTGAACAGCTTTTTCTCCGTTGAGAAACCATTGCCTGCAAAGCTTACCATTTTTCTTTTCGGTGAAGTGTTGAGGAAAGAGATAACATATGCTTTGTTTAACAGTTTTTGAAGATAAGTAGAATGGAATTTTGCTAATTTACATCTATAACCTTCGGTTTCTGGTATATTTCCTTAATACCCCACTTTTCTCATCTTTTAATTTGATTAAGTTTTTAGAGTAAATTTTACCAATGACTATTTAATTATTGTTCTTTTATTTTGATTATCGATCTTTTAATTTTATCAATAAGATTATTTAATTATTTAATTATTATCAATTAAGTTAATTAAGCTATTTGTCGTGATTTGCATTCATGTTTATATTCCCTGTTTTAAATCATCGGATTGAATTTGAATATTTAATTTGTATTTATGGATAATATTTTCACATCGTTCGATTCTGATTTGTGGTTTGTCAACAACCTTTCAATAGTTCCATCCCCTTTTGTGGTTTGTTTACCGATGATCAGATCTGTTCGATCTACCTTTTGCTCGGGTTTATTTGATTTGCTTTTTTTAACATTTTCTTTGTATGATCCTTATGTGATCTTAAGTGGCTAATTTTTTTGTGTTTAGGAAAATATTTTTATTATATGTTTAGTTTACGGTTGTGGTTGTAAAACTTTATTATAATTTGATATTTATATTTTTAATAAAAAAATATAATTAAATGTAAGATTTTTAAAAATAATTTTAATATTTATTCTTTATAATGTCATATATATAAATTATTAAATTGAATCTTTTTAACTTAATCAATTATTTAATTTTTTTATAAAAAAATGAAATGTATATTTCATTTATGTTTTGATTAATTTTTATTGAATAAGTAAATTTAATTTAAGAATAAATTATTTGTAATAAGAAATAAAATGTATCTTTCATTTAACTCCATTTATATATTATAGTCTACTTCTTATTTTAATGTATGGGGTTTATCCTTTTTCTTTCTACCTTTTGTCGCACGATTAGGGGTTTACCCTTCTTTTCTTTATTTTGATTTGCCAAATTGGCCCAAATCAAACAAACATTACAACTCTTACAAATTTTTGTTCAAACTAGTCGTGTGTATGGAAAATAGGACCTCCGTAGAATAATGCAATAAATTAGGACTCAATGAAAATTTAATTAAAGGTTTGGGATCTTTACATAAATAGCAAATGTTTTATATCCTTTCTATAATTTTCCCATGACTAAAAGAAGAAGAAAGTTGTAAAAAACAGAGAAAGACGAAAGGAGGAGGAAAGGGGAAGGAAAGGAGTCATTCATCGATGAATTTTCTCTCTCCCCAAACAACCCCAAAAGTTAGGGTTAGGGTTTAAAAAAACCCAAACCAGAAGTACAAAGAAAGAGCAAAATCCCAGATTTACATCTTCAGATTCTTGTTGGAAAAAGCCAAAACAAATAAGCTTTTTTTTCTTAAGAGTATCCTTTGAAAAGTTAGTCTAGAAAGATGGGTACGTTATCAGCTTCAGTTATCAAGTGGCAGCCGTTTTCCCTGCTCTTCTGTGTATTAAGCTGTGTCGTTCTCAGTGATGATTCTTCAGACAAAGCTGTTCTTCTTGAGTTTAAGGAGTCTGTCTCAGATCCTTCGGGGCTTTTATCCAGTTGGTCCGAGAATTCCCATCACTGTTCATGGTCTGGTGTTACATGTGACAAAAACTCAAAGGTTTTGTCTCTTAACATAACTGGTTCTGGGAAAGAGCAAAAAGGTAATAATTTCAACAATAGAGGTGATTCTGTTTCGTTTTCTTGTTCTGATTACAGTTTGTTCCCATTTTATGGTTTTGGTATTAGAAGGAATTGTGGGGAAAGTAATGGGAGTTTGTTTGGAAGCCTGTCGCCTTCTATTGGAAAATTGAGTGAACTTAGGATTTTATCACTTCCTTTCCATAGATTCCACGGTGAAATTCCTTCTGGAATTTGGGGTTTGGAAAAACTGGAAGTACTTGATTTAGAGAACAGTTTGTTATCTGGGACATTACCTGTTACCGTTTCTGGGTTAAAGAATTTGAGAGTTGTTAATTTGGGGTTTAATGATATTAGTGGCGAGATACCAGATTGGTTTTCGAGTTTGAAGCAAATGGAAATGTTAAACTTGGCCGGTACTCTTGTGAATGGAACTGTTCCTGCATTTATCGGAAGGTTTAGAGGTGTTTATTTGTCATTCGCATGGTTAGGGGGGTCATTGCCAACTGATATTGGTGAAGATTGTAGGCTTGAGCATTTGGATTTATCTGGGAACTACTTTGTTGGGCCGATTCCTGCCAGTTTGGGCAAATGTAGACAGTTGAGGTCATTGTTGTTATATATCAATATGTTTGAGGAAGGCATTCCGCCTGAAATTGGTCAGCTTCAGAATCTTGAGGTGTTGGATGTTTCAAGGAATAGTTTGAGTGGTCCGATACCTGTTGAGCTCGGGAGTTGTTCTTCTTTGACTGTGCTTGTGCTTTCAAATATGTTGAATCCCTATGACAACCTTGTTGTAGCTAAAGGGGATGCAAACTATGTAAACGATGATTTTAACTTTTATCAAGGTGGGATTCCAGATGTAATTACAAAGCTTTCAAAGCTGAGAGTATTATGGGCTCCGAGAGCAACGCTGGAGGGCAACTTGCCGAGTGATTGGGGTTCTTGTGATAACTTAGAGATGGTGAATTTGGCGCAGAATTTTTTTTCTGGGAAAATTCCAGTTGGTCTTACTCTCTGCCAGAAAATGCGGTATCTTGACTTAAGCTCAAATAAGCGCCTTACTGGAGAGCTTATTGAGGATCTTGCAGTTCCTTGTATGAGTTTCTTTGACGTCAGTGAAAATTCCTTGTCGGGTTATATACCAATATTCTTCAACCAGGGATGCCCTGATGTTCTTACATCAGATTCGTATTCCTTTGAACCCTTCAACCCAACATCTGCATATTTGTCATATCTGGCAAGTAAAGTTCAGGCCGGAACATCTATCGGATCTTTCGGAAGAGATGGTGGTCCTATTGTGTTTCACAACTTTGGAGCTAACAATTTCTCTGGAAGTGTATTGTCAATGCCTATCGCGCCACAGAGATTGGGCAAACACATTTCTTATGCATTTCATGCTGGAGAAAACTTGCTCGGTGGACCATTTCCTGGAAATTTGTTTGAGAACTGTAATGGACTAGATGCAGTGTTTGTTAATGTCAGCTACAACAGAGTGTCTGGTCGATTCCGGAGGAAATCAATAAACTTTGCAAATCTCTCAAATTTCTGGATGTGTCTATGAATCAAATCTCTGGGCATATTTCCTCTAGCATTGGAGACTTGGTTTCACTTGTTTCTCTTAATTTGAGCTGGAACCTGTTACAAGGCCAAATTCCAAGCAGTTTAGGGCAGATGAAGGATCTAAGGTTTCTTTCTTTGGCCGGTAACAATCTGACTGGATCTATTCCTTCCACATTCGGGCTGTCAAAATCTTTAGAAAAACTGGAGCTGTCGTCCAATTTTCTTTCTGGTGAAATTCCTGAAGGTCTGGTTAACTTGAGAAACCTTACTGTTCTTTTGCTCAACAACAACAATCTCTCCGGGCAAATTCCTTCCGGTTTGGCGAATGTGACTATGCTGTCTTCTTTCAACGTGTCCTTCAATAACTTGTCTGGGCCACTGCCATCAAGCAATAATTTGATGAAATGCAGCAGTGTTCTCGGAAACCCTCTTCTACAGCCTTGCCGTTCATACTCCTTAATTCCATCTTCAGACCAAGCAAGAGCGGGTGATTCACAAAATTACGATGCATCTCCACCGGAGCCTGCGATTCAAGAGAAAAGACATAATGGTTTCCGTACTATCGAGATAGCGTCAATAACATCAGCTTCAGCCATTGTTTCTGTTCTTCTGGCTCTTGTTATTTTGTTCCTGTTTACGAGAAAATGGAATTCGAGATCCAAAATCAGCACCACCAAAAAAGAAGTGACTATTTTCAAAGAGATTGAGGTCCCTTTGACATTTGACATTGTCGTGCAGGCTACCGGGAATTTCAATGCTAGCAACTGCATTGGGAATGGAGGCTTTGGGTCAACTTATAAAGCTGAGATCTCGCCTGGAGTTTTAGTGGCAATAAAGCGGCTTGCTATCGGGCGGTTGCAAGGCTTTCAACAGTTTGATGCTGAAATTAAAATCCTTGGGAGGTTGCGCCATCCGAATCTTGTCACTTTAATTGGTTACCATGCCAGTGAAACGGAGACGTTCCTTGTATACAATTATTTGCCAGGCGGTAACTTGGAAAAGTTTATTCAGGAGAGGTCCACTAGAGCTGCAGATTGGAGAGTACTTCACAAGATTGCTTTGGACATAGCCCGTGCCCTTGCCTACCTACACGATGAATGTGTTCCACGAATTCTCCACCGCGATGTCAAGCCGAGCAATATCTTGTTGGACGATGATTACAATGCCTATTTATCGGACTTTGGTTTGGCCAGACTTCTGGGAACTTCAGAAACCCATGCTACCACAGGTGTTGCTGGAACTTTTGGGTATGTTGCCCCTGAATATGCAATGACTTGCCGTGTTTCTGATAAGGCCGATGTTTACAGTTATGGGGTGGTGCTTCTTGAGTTGCTCTCCGACAAGAAAGCTTTAGATCCCTCGTTTTTCTCCTTACGGAAATGGTTTCAACATCGTTCAATGGTCGTGCATGCTCTTGCGACAAGGACAGGCCAAGGAGTTCTTCACTGCAGGTTTATGGGATGGAGGTCCCCAAAATAACTTGGTAGAAGTTCTGCACTTGGCAGTCGTGTGTACCGTTGATTCTCTATCGACTAGACCTACGATGAAGCAAGTAGTACGGCGGCTGAAGCAACTTCAGCCACCATCTTGTTAGGTTCCTGATAAAAGCTTCTGTTGATTAACATAGTTCTTGTAGGAGTTAACCCCCAGGGCTCAACCATCGACACGGCCGGCCCATAGGCAGAGTTCTAAACTGTAGTTATTGCCCACTTGTAAATTGTAATACAGCTTTACCCCCATTTTTCGATGCTCTTTTTTTTTTGTTATAAAGGGGTTCACTGATGGCTGTAGAAGAATGCATATATATATTTTTTCTTAATCCAAGTTCTAAACTTGTAATTTTCATTTGATGTCTAATAAAAGAATAGAATCAGTTCATACATACACGGTCATTCACACATAGTTGAAACCCAAACCCTGAGATATTTTGAGAAAACGTGGTTCAGGGTTGATGTTGTAAGAATCATATGTATATGTAGGGCTGAAAAAAATTCTGAGTCGCTCCTTTATTTGAAACCTGCATTTCTCTTTTGTTTCTTCAGTTCCCATTGAAGAAAAATCATGACATCCATCAGAATTTCTCAAAGAGAAGCTTTCATTTAATAAGACTGTCAATAAACCTAGTCCACATTTCCAGAAGAAAATAAAAAAGAGATTCTTAAATGATAATAACCCAAAAAGTTCATCCATGGAACCTTCCTTTTCATGGCATTAGTTTTTAGAAAATGAAAGACGGGCTGACAACTATATGCTTTAACGGATGTTCCACATCACTGCCGGCATGCTTTACGAACTCAGCCGGGGAAAGGAAGCTGCCATGGCAAACACATACAATTCTCACTTCCTCACCCTTTCTATATCTGTAAAGAAACCCTTCTATTCTTTTCCCATTGGGGCCATCTCCCGTTGTTGACACGCACGGCATATCTTCCATAATGTTTCTCACAGTTGCCTTAACACTCTTCTCATCTATTTCTGGTTGATTATGTTGATTCCTTGGTATAATTCCGGCTAAGTTTCCGGAGTTCTGCGTCAAGATCTTTCCAGGGATGATATTCGGTTTCTGGTCGGTCTGTGTTGCAGATTGCACACAGGCAGGGCTTCTTGATCTGGGGCATTTATAAGTTCCTGTAATGTGATGCCATGTATTTTTGAGTTCAAAAGCTAAATGCAAAAGATAAAAGGTAAAAAAAACGACTATGGTCGTACCGACAATGTACTTTAATCAAGATAATTTCCTAGCTAAGCTTAAAAAGATAGATGTAGATCATCAAGAAGTTACTAAGAGGTTAATGCAAAGCATAAACAACCTGTTTCCTGCCTGCTTTTCGGTTTTCTTAAGAGCTCCATTATAACCAAAAATTGCCAAGGTCCGTTTTTCAGATGAGACAACGGTATTTCATCCTCGCAACTAGAAAATGTTTTAATGATATTGAAGGGGAATTAGCAGATGAAATTGAGATATCATGGCTGCGTTAAGGAACACCTTCTGTTTGATACAGAGCTTGGATGTTCAAAGACAATAAACAAGAGATATGTCAGTATTTATCAGAAACTACAACTTCAATTTTGTCCAAACCTCGAGACAAAGTCAATATTTCACCTAGAAGGAGGGATGTCCAACACCGGGAAGTCTACAAATTTCAGACACAAGCCTAAAACTATCCATCACCTTGTTAGCTAAACTATGCATCAGCAAAAAGGATACAAAATAGGTCACTCCCACTTACTGCATTATTTTTCTCTGGGATTTCTTCTGTATCTCAGGAACACAAAGCAACTCAAACTAATGTCCAGGTATCGTTCTCCATTCTTTAACGTTGGATCGAACCTAAAAATTAGGATATCCTTAGTTCAACTAAAGCACAACTGTATTTTAACAGCAACTCGATATGTATATACACACACACACAAACAGTTAAGGCAAATGACTTGAATCTAAATAGAATTCAAACATGTCACTTAAATCAAGCCTTAAAGTGAAAAAGAAAAGAAAAGAAAAACAAAAGCCAATCTGAACAGTGTGAAGAACAAACGGCAAATAATAGGAATTAGGATATCAAAACACCAGTGAAAGTAACAGCAATCAAGATGTAAAAGAAAGAATAAAAAAACCAACAAAAATGAGATTAAAAAGAATTGATAACCTTGAGGCGGTTGGCTTTCGAGTTCAGATATGCCCGAGGAACCACTTCCTTGGGAACCAATTGAACCCTGTGAACCACCATTGTTACAAGCCTCCTCCCTCTTATCTTCTTCACCAAAACCCTCTCTATTCCTATCTTTCAAGGCCTTCAAATTATTCTGTTTCGCACACCTCTTCCTATTGGCTTCCAGTCTCCTCAAACTCTGCAACTCCTTCCTTTTCCTCCACTCTTCCTCCACTCTTCCTTCCTCGTTGAGTTGATGAAATCGGGTATGGAAGATAATCTAGTTAGTTTATTGGCTCTCGGGTCAACCCAAAATGACCGTTCAATGAAAGTCCTAAGCTTAACTCAATCTCTTCACCATTTCCTTCCCCTTCTTGCTTTTTTTCATGGCTTTTGAGAGAAAAATGGTTGCTTGATGAGATGAATCTCTCAAGTAAATCGCTTGGAAGATTCACCACTTGCATGGATATGTTTCGTTGGGTTTCTTTCCTTCCAATTTCCTCATCTGTTTCCATTGATAGAAAAAAAACCAAAATTGTTTTGTTTAATATTGATTGTTGAAATGAAATCAAACTTTATAAAGCATGAAACTCAAAGTTCCCATTTTTTTTTCCATTCAAGCAAACCAAGAACAGAAAAAAAATCCAAAAGTAAAACGGATGAAAGAGAAGGGAAAAAGAAATGGATGAAATGACAATAATACCCTTGCAAACGGAGCCACTCACATAAGACACGTGGCGGACATGAAGAGCACTGAACAAAATATTAAAAACGGGGTGAACTATACTTTTAGCACCTAAAATTACTGCTTTTATTCCGCTTTGATTCTTAAACTTCGTTTTTTAAAAAACTTACCTAACATTTAATTTATATTTTATTTTGGTATCAGTCTTTAAAAATTTAACAAAATTGATGATGTGATATTTTTAATTTTTTACAATAATGATATGAAATTATCTTATGGTTACACATCAATATTACTGTTATGATTTTAATGACATGATATTAAAATGAAATCTATGTTAAACGTTAAATATGGTTTAAAAAAATAAGTTTAGGTAATAAAATGGAATAAAAGTAATAATTTAAGTATTAAATGTCGAGTTTTCGCAAAAATCCCTCAGATTCCGAGATGAGTTGAAACGAGGTGTTGCACGTCGTTGGTTTCTTTTCTTTAAACATGAGTCTCTGTTGTGTTCTGCTTATTACACGTGTCAAAATGTTGATGTGGGCCGCATTATTGGCTTCCACGTGTCTTTCGATAAAGAAAAAGAAAATATATATAAATATCTGTCCTTGGCTTCTATCATAGTTTAGGGGAAAATTGCACTTAATGTGCTTTCGGCATTTTTATTCATTCCCCTTAACTGCTTTTCTATTTCATTCCAGTCCTTTCTCACTCTCCTTTCAAGGTTTAGCTTCGAAAGACTTGTTATCATATTAGATCACTGACGTGATCAAAATGATATATTTATAGTAATTTAATTGATTATTAATTCTTCACATCAATTTTTTTTATTAATTTGAAGTGATTATAATATGTATGTGTCCGGAAGATTTTAATCATTTGATAATAAATATTTAAACTTATATGTGACGTGCTTGAATCCGAGACCTCTAAGGATAATAATAATCTCTATTATATCGCTTGATTCGTGCAAATTTAACATCAAAATCATATATTAATTTTAATAACAACCAATTGATATAGTGAAATTAACTATCAAATGTATTTGAAGCCTTGCAGTAGCTTGCATGGAGAGAGGCTATTTAGGAAGAAACTCTGCTTTGGTTAAGAATGGTACTTGGGAACTTCAACCACTAACTCTTACACGCAAGTAGGTTGGTTACAAATGCCCGATTAGTTGCCAAGGGGTACTCATAAGTGACTGGTTATGATTTTCGAGTGACTTTTAGTTCGATTGTTCGTGCTGTAACTATACAACCAATCTTGGTTACTTCTGTTCTTTAGGAATGTACAATAGGATAGATCGACATCAATAATGTCTTTTTAAATGATGATCTATCCCAAGAGATATATATAAGCCAATCCCCTTGTTTCGAGCAATATGAACCAAGTGGGGAGAAGTTGGTTTGCTGTCTCAAGAAGGCAATTTATGGCCTTAGACAAACTCCGAGAGTTCGGTACAATACCTTGAAGGCAACTCTTACAACCAAACTAGGTTTTTCTAATTCAAAGGCGATACATTTTTGTTTATTAGAAATAATGAGTGTTCCAAGTTGCTATTAATGGTGTATGTGGATGACATCATTATCACTGACAGTGATGTTAAGGAAGTTGATGAGGTTGTTCAGCAAATTAATGCTGAATTTTGCCCAAGGATATGGGTCAAGCTGAGTTTTTCCTTGGCATAGAGATTCTTCAACACTCTCATGGGTTGTTGCTTAGTCAGAAGAGGTACATTGCTGAGCTTTTGGCTAAAGCTTGAATGGATAAATCAAATCCAACTCCTACTCCCATGGACAGTATGTGACTTTGACGAGATCCGATATTGTTTTTGTCGTCAACAAAGTTAATCAATACATAAACAGTCCATATGATACACATTGGTGAGCAGTCTAGCGCATTCTTCGATATCTATGTAGGACATTGAGTATGGATTGTATTATTAACCTTCTAGATAGTTCTAGTGTGCTATTTAAATGTTGATTGGGCAGCGTCCGTTGAGGATCGACGCTCCACTACAGGGTATTGCATTTATCTTCGTGGGAACTCTGTGTCCTTGTGCTCCAAGAAGCAAAGTGTGGTCTCTCGGTCCACTTCAGAGGCAGAGTACAGAAGTTTGACCGATTCTGTTTCTGAGTTGGTTTGGATTGAGCAATTATTGACCGAGCTTGAGTTATATGTAGAAGGGAAGCCTATCGCCTGGTATGATAACTCTTCTACCATTTCAATGGCTACCAATGCTACTCATCATGCCCGTGTCAAGCATGTTGAGATAGATTTATATTTTGTTCGGGCTGGCTGGTCATTTATTGGTATCGTTTGTACCTTCTCCGGAGCAGGTTGCAAATATTCTTACTAAGGCCATACCTATAGCTCAGTTTCTTCCTATGAGGCAACGTGTTGGTGTGATTTCATTGCTTGGTATTCAAGTGAACATATGTATAAACTAACTGTTGTAAAGTTTGTTGAGCGGTTTTTAGTCTGTTGAGTTAGTTGGATTGTACTTTGGGCTATATATACTGACTTGTGTTGTGATATTGGGTTAAGCATTTTTAATAAAGAATTACTTTTCTGTTAATATTTCTCTCTGTTAATCATTTTAATATATTTAAATTCATAAGACTTAACCTTCTTTCTCTTCAGTTAAATGGCTTTCATGATTACTCCGATCACCGGAGTTATTCTTTCTGACACTCACCATGTGCATTCGCAGCCTCTTTTGTCGGGGAACGAGCATTTACTTTATGCTCGAGTTGGAGTTCGTGCGAGTTATGGGCAGAGCTTGTAATGTAAAAGAT